AACACTCGCATAGTGCGCACTCAGTGCGCACTAAGTGGCACGAGATATTTTGACGGTGCCAGTTCAGTGCACTGGATGCATGCAAGCAGTAGGGCATTCTTTTGAACGAAAATTCGACATAATGAGCAATTCGGATTTGGCTCTCTTTAATATTTTGGAGACATTTTTGGAATCTTCTTCTAGTTCAAGCGAGCAAGAAGAAATAATTACAACTCTTCGAACTAGAAGAATAATTCCAAAAACTGTAAATTATGTAGAATGTGTGAAAAAAATGGATAATGACACCATAAGTGTTATATCTTTTTATATAAACATCGAACCTATACCTTTTTTTAAATATAATTAATGTACTTAATGTAATAGCATTTTTATACTGAATAATAATAATTTTTATATTTGTCATACGTGATATTCTTGATCATCTTCTATATTTAATTACATATAATAAAAATCATTACTTAACTGAACACAAGATGTCGAGGTTACTTTTTCGTTCTTCCCGGAATCTAGTCAACTCAAGTGGCACTGAAAATTTCGGCGTGTTCTTTTTCACCTGCACTATTCAGTGCAACCCATGGAACTTGTCCAGTGTTCGTGTGAACTGAGTGCGCACTGGTGCGCACTAACTTTTTCCCAATCGAAAACGCTATAACTTATTGCACCAGTGTGCATTATTTTATTAGTACAGGAACAAAACAAACCCTTTGATTCATATCGATTATTGTTTACCTGGGTACTTATTACGGTTCTTTGGGTAAGTTTGCTCACGAGGTAAAAATCACAAAAGTGAGAGATTCACTAGGTTGTCTACGCTTCTATTGGTCAAAATCTAGTGAATCTCTCATTTTTGTGATTTTTATCTCGTGAGCAAACTCACCCAAATAACCGTAATAGGTACCCTGGCCTTGTTTGTTTCTCCATCGAGGAAATTCTAAAGTAGATAATTCCAAAGGATCTTTCATAGGATCGAATTCTTCTTTAATAAATACTGTATCTTCTTCTTATCCATTATTGTATAAGATTTTGTAAATACTTTTACTGGCAGAATACTCATCGTTATATTGAATCGTTCAATATTTTGGGAATAAATAACTACAAAACAAATGCAACTCTAGCTATTTCGGCGCGGATAAAAATGAACTGCGCATGTGCGAATGAAATACGTAACCAATCACGACAGTGCCACAGTACCGTGACAGTGCTCTTATTCTGTCTTATTCTATGCAGAACAGTTTTATATACGAATTTGTATTTTTATATCAATCTTTTCAATTTTATTATTTTAAAATAATTCCCAGATAGCAAACGTGAGTCATTTTGACGTCGAATTAGTGGTAGGCGATGTTAAAAAAAAGCATCGATTCGGAAATAATCGATGCAAAATAAAATCGATGTTTCAAAATTGATATTTTGCCAAATAAATCGATTTTAATCGATTTTTTTTATCGGGACAATGCGCGCCTAATTTAAATAGCTGCAACTAAAAGGAGAAAAAACCGGCTAAAAATTAATAAAAAATTAAGTAAAGTATTATTTTGCTTTTATTAATATTCCTATTTTTTATTATTTTACTTCTTATTTATGTATATACAAAATTAAACATGGAATATTGATGTTCCTCGTAATGGTTTGAATGCTGTATGATTTATAATTTATCTTGTTTCTCTTATGATTCCAGAGTTGTATCTGCCTCCTTCAAATACATATCTATACAAAGAAAATATTTATTAGTTCTATGTTTATAAAAAAAAGATAACCGAATAAAAATAGTACAATGAGAGTAAAGGTAGAAGCTTGAGAAACAGGTTATAATTTTTAAAAACCCAAGAAATTTGATATATTATGCTATATTATTAATTCCTGCAAACATATTACACATCTTGTACATAATTTTATGTACAGTAAGAACACATGCTTCTTATTTCGCGAAGTGAAGGAAACATCGATGTTATTTTTTAATAATCGATTGTTACTCAATGTATCGATCAGCAAAAACATCGATTAAAATAATCGATGTTGTAATAAAAAGTATCGATTTTCTAAGCATCGAGTGAACATTGCCCACCACTACGTCGAATGACGTCATCAAACATATTAAAATGATGTTATTTTGACGTTTAATCATGTCACTGTAGTACTGCTTGGGTTCTTGAATTAATATTTATTCCTCTAATATTATATATATATATATATTTTTTTTTTCTATTTAATTTTTTTCATTTTTCAGGTAAATATAATGAACCCACGAAAGTTTTAATTTAATCCGTGACCTATAAATAATTGTGCATCAATTAAAAATTTGAAAATTTTTCTTAGATTAACTTCAAAATTATTCCTTCTTATTTAAACAAAAAATATTAAATCACGACAGTTGTAATAAGGACTAAATTTTTGGGGGTGATGCTTTTTTACTATGTACGCGTATATACGTCATTGAATACCGGACTTAACAGCACGTCGTCTGCTGTGTATGAATTCCAATATGGCAGTTTCAATTAGGTGGAGGAAACATCAATCAGAAATCGCGACGCCACATTTGCCTCTATTTATATAGAGTCCAGTGTCGACGCTTTAACTTGAGGGTTTCTATAGTATATTCTCAGTTCTTCGGCTTTACCTAATTTATTTAGTTTTGTATTGTTTTGTGCTGCGTGCGTATTGATAATAAAATACAAAAAAAAAGAAAATTACGTTTGCCAAAGTCAAAGGATAAATAGTTCATTATCGGAGGTTTTAATCTAATCTCTAATTTTATAAATATTAAACTGATAAAACGCGTTAGTTATCAGATATGAGTTTCGCAACATGACATATTATGACGGTGCGAGAGAAATTTAACCTAAATAAGGATGTTCCTGACATAACGTAATCGGTATTACTGTCTCCGGTTGCCTACTAAATCTTGTTAAACGATGAGCGATGCGTATCAAGGGCCTGCTACTGTTGCTGATCTGCATAGCAGGAAGCAGCATCGTTTTCATTGCTTTCAGCAATCAGCGACCTTCCATTCAGACTCTAGTGACGGAGACTCACAAACAGTTACGGAGCTTCCAGGTAAATATATATTGATATCGTTTGACAACTTTTAAAGCATTTTTTTGTCGTATTAATTACATAATGTCGTTTCAAGGAAAATTTGAAAGACGTTGAGGAGAAACGTCTGGTGACAGATTCCAAATATCTTACGTTGCTTGGTCTGGATGGTCAGACAAGCACTACACCGGTCAGTCTCAAGCCTCAAAATGTGACAGTTGTGTCACTTGTAAGGCCTGGAAACGAGCAATATATTTATGGCTTTGTTAGAAACATCAGCCATTTTTTGCCAAATAATAGTATTGTGATTTATAGCGTCGGTTTGAATGAAGATTCCTTACAAAGTATTAGACTTGCTTGTAACTCTACAAGATGTAATGTGATTCACTTTGATCTAAGCCCATTTCCTGCTCACGTCGAAGATGACACACTGCATGTTTATAGACCTTTAGTTATTCAAGTGAGTAGCAACTTCTTCAACGCCTTTATAGGTTTTTTTTAAAGAGACTCATATTGATTAAATCATGCTTTTTATCACAGACAGCTTTAAATACATTAGGTAGTATAATCTATATGGACTTAAATGTGCGTCTGAATTCCTCAGACATTTCAAAATATCTTTGTCCAAAATCTGGAATCTTGACTTGGCCTACAAGGCACGCCATTAGTTCCCTAACGCATCCAAAGATGTATGAATACTTTCATGCCTCCGCTGAGAGTTTTTTCTTTCTCCCACTGATTAGAGCATCATACTTAGTAATTAGTAATTTTAAAAACATTAGGGAAAGTGTAATGCTGCCTTGGGTCCAGTGTGCATTGACGAGAGATTGTATTTCCCCTATTGGTAAATACTTCTTGATTTATGCATTTACATAGTTTCTATCATTTCTATATTTCTCTCAGTAGATATATATTATTTAACATTTTTTTAAAATTTATTCTCTAAATATTTAAATTTTCTTAACTAAATTTTCATAGGTGCACAGTCAGCGGGCTGTAGGTTCAATAAAAAGCCACAGTATCGGTACTCCGGTTGTCACGCTTACGACACCTCTGCATTAAATATAGTACTTGGATTGCATTTTAACTTTGATGATACATATTACGTACACAAGGAGAGGGAGACATATTTTAATAAAATCCAGCCTGAAGAAATTACCGAGGAGTACCTTATGATCACGCGGCAAAATAATGCCACCGAGACCAATGCTAGAAATTTCATAATGGAGCATTAATAAGCTTTTTTTGATCTCAATTTACTTTAGGTAATACGTCGAACAAGCACAACTTAATTTAAGATTATTAAGCATTGAATTAAATTATAATAAATGAGCAGAATGTGTGACCAACAATTCTGGATTTTCTTTTCAAGGGTATCGAATCTTGTCTTTAAATCTTGGATCCCTTACCATTTCCTTCTATATATACAGGGTGTCCCGCAATGTAATGTCCATACTGAAACTGTGTATTCTTGGTGTCATTCTAAGTAAAAAAAAATCTGAATACACATATACCCTAAAGTCGATTGTTTTAAAGTTATAGTGAAAAAATGCAAATGTAATTATTTATTTATTTATAATTTTTAATTATTATTTACTTATTTATTTATTATTTATTTTCTTACTATAATAACTCAAGAAATTGTTTTTATGTCAGTCACGAAAGTTCGATTTTCGGTTGCTGTTTAACGTGCGGAAAGTGACTTATTTCTCAATGATTCAACATATGCCTTACTTTGTCGCACTAGTACGAGAGATCTTTGACATCTTACTGCACAATTTATAAAGTAATGAATTATTATTTAATTATTGTTCAATAAATAATATTATTTTCAAGAAATAATACTGTTCTTATTTTGTTTTTTCGCTGTAATTTTAAAGCAATCGACTTTAAGCACATATTTTTTCACAAAATCAGCATACAACTGTATCTATCGGAATAGTTTGGCGAAATGATTCTTACGTACATTCTTACGTACATTGCAGTCTTGTTACATTTATTTATAAGGCACTAAACTGTCTCGACATTTGACATAGGTCATACAATTCATGAATCCATATACTTTCAATGATATGCGAAAATACCAAAAAGAGAGATTTTGTTAACATAGCCGACGAGAATTAATATGGGTCCTCTATAATGACAAAATTTTTTTATAAAATATTCTTTTCTAGTATATACAAAAATAAAACGTAGAATGTTAAATATTTATTCTAAAAGAACATATAAAAAACTTTAAGATTCTTTGCAGTACACTTGTTTTAAGGATGTATAGGAAATGCAATCGGAGACAAAAGTATTAAAAACGTTATTCACGCTATACATTTTATAGAAAATCGCTAAAGATTATGTTTCTAACTTTCAGTTGTTTCTAGCGTTGACACAAATTGAATGCTCGATTAAACTAATAATCACAATAGTTTTTTTTAATAATAATTGCAAGTAAATCATTTTGAAACTTTACAGAAACATTTTTACATGTTTAAAAAACTTATAACAAACTCAAATTTTTAATTTTTGGTTTTTCATACTTTGTGAATAATTTATTATCTTTTCCTCGAACATTCGCATAAAATCCTATGTTAAAATTGCAAAATTCAATAATGACTTTTTAACGAGCAATTAAAATAATTTTAAGTAATTCATCACGATTTAGAACTAAGAATGTCCAGTTAAAAATTCACGACAATATCATTGATTTATATATCTATCCAATACATCCTTAATAATGGATGTAAAAAATCGATACATTATGTTATTGTTGAGATAAATAAAAATATAATATATGCAGCGTAGAGAATCTCGGGTCTCTTTGCGAATTGCAGTCTATATTTATCCTGCTTTTCATCGGCCCTTTCTCAACATAAATATTTTCGATGCATGAATATATTAAAGTGTGTGAATCGCGCGCATATAATTGCGAAATCGGTGCAAGTGTTCAGCATCGTACCATTTACATGATCATGGACTTTTCTTCTTCTTGAAGCCGTTCAATATCAGATTTGTTCATGAAGTAATACGAGGGCTGTCGAGATTTCTAAAAATGCAGAAAATTAGCCCTCTTCCGTGTGTAGAAAAAGTTTTTTTGTTATTCGAATAATAATAAAAATAATAAAAATGGCTTACCAAATCTTTAACAATACGTTTTGCGCCTGCCGTGATCAATATATTACTTAAGACTTCCACGGATGGCACTCCCATTGCGTAATGAAGAGCTGTTTTCTCCAACTGAAAAGACATTTTTTATTTTAGTGTCTTCTTTTTTAAAATTAAATTTGTTTGAAAGCTTTTGAATTATATTTGCAGATGCCATTAAATTTATTTAGAAATTAGTTTTCTTTTTGACGCAAGAAAAAATGTTAAAAATGGTCAAAAATACCATTTTTGACTCATATTACAATTTATTTTAAATCGTAATGTGTTAAGAAACAATAGTATCGTGTTCAGCGCGAAAAAACTTCGGAGAGAAGTTTAATTGCGTCCTCTGAATCCATATTTTACAATTGAAGGATTTGTATTATTTTCTTATCTATCATTTTAAGCAGAATTAAACTAGTGTTTTATCATCATATTTCACATTTAATGTTCCTTTTGAGCGATTCGTACATTATCACCGATGCGTAAAGTCTCCGGATACGTTCTCGCGATAAATTTAACGAGCTCCTCATTCTCCCAAAGCACAGCGATGTGCAATGCACATCGGCCAAACGAGTTCTTCCCAACAGCCAACAATTTTCCACCTCCGTTATTTTTACTCAAAAGCTCCTTCACACGATCCACATCGTTGGCCCGAATTGCAGCATGCACTTCCTCACGTTGGTTCTGTCAAAAAATTGTTTTAGTAATTTGAAAATGTAAATAATAGTTTATTTTCTTAGAAATGTGAATTATTTGAAATAGATGATGCATTTAAGTATTATAAATAAAAATATACATAAAATAATTTTCATTTATTAAAATATATTTTTTTCAAAACTTATTTATATATTTCTATTACTTATTTTTTATTTCAAATATATTTTTCTTGCAAAAAAATTAATCGAGATATTAATTTTAATATTCTTTTTATTTTTAATTTTTAAAAATTATCTTAAAAATGTCTATTTTTTTAGTTCTTATTTAAAAATAATGTAAAAAACATATTTTGCATATTTTGTATTTAAAGCTCCTGGATTTTTGCCATGTTGAATTGTGACGTCAAAGGCGAGAAAGCGTACGTTAAAAATTCTTAGATGCCATTTTTAAATGAAAAGATATTTTGATGAAACAATATTTTAAATGGCTTTAGCACATTTTAAAAATATCTCGAAAACTATACTTTTCTTTTGACAGTCAATCAACAACCATAAAATGATCGTGATATCAGATCGTCATGCGGAATGACCGCATATACAAGAACCAGACGGACTGGATTTCATATTGCAGTCATTTTACAGCTGTTGATTGATTATAAAGGGAAAAAGTTAGTTTTCGAGATATTTTATTTTAAGAGTGTGCTAAAGTCATTTGAAGTGCTGTTTCATCAAAATATCTTTATTTCAAAATGTATTTAAGAATTTTTAGCGTGTGTTTTCTCACTTCTGATTCACAATTGTAACATGTTCGGCGAGAGCCCAAGAGCCTTAATAAATAAAAAAAGGTTCCACCTATTTTGCATTTTATTCTATTTGAAATGAGTTTGGACACCCATTTTGCACATATCTCTGTTTATCTCATAGATTTTTGCACTCTCTTACTACATAATTAGGAATTGATTGTAGAAACTGGACGGTAGGTTCGTGTTCTCTTTGAGCAGCAACATCGATGATGTTCACGTCTTCATCCTCGGTGTCCAAGATATGATCATAACCCTCTAGCAGAAGTTCAACTAACTTTTCAGTTTCTCCTGCGAACATGATTCTTTTATAATTTTCTACATGAAGATAGCTTATTGTTAATATACCTATATATTATATATTTTTTTACCTCTTGCTGCTAGATAAACAATGAAGCGATCGATCTCTTCAACGTTCTCCCGAATATTTGCCTGTTCGGCAACATCTCTAGCTGTTCGATACAGTTCGTCTCTAAAACCAACGTTAACCTGCGTCTCCAGTAGCAGGTGATACAGGCCGTCCTTTGAATAGGAACGAACTGCCGCGAAGTGAATCATGCTTTGTCCATGTTCATCCTAAGAAATAGAGTTTTTTTTTCATTTTTTGTGTGTGCGAGATAATACTTATTGTTGCAAAGGATTTAATAAAAAATAAATCGTATAATTCTTTTTTCCAAGAAATATTGTTTCGCAAAAGTGTCGAAATGTATATTTTTATTCACATACTCTATTAGGATTGCTGAACGTAGATTCGGGTATATCTGAAGCTGGACTCCGGGGATAACCAGCGTCTTCGTCGAAATTTTCATTCTCGATATTTTCCAAATTTTCTTCTTCACGATCAGGTATAATGAGAACATCAGATTCCTGAAGTCAGAATAAGAAAAAAATTGTAATGTTAAATTCTCCGAGGATGTTCTATAGTGTTTAATTCTTCAATCAGATATATACTTGTTCCTGTTCATTGGCTTTATTCTTGCTGGCAAAGTTGTACAAGTATGTTGCGAGATATGTGACCGGATCCGTTGGACGCGCGTTAGCAACTTCCGTTAATCCTTTAATTAAGGGATCGCCTAACGCTGGAAAATAAATGATTTCTCGTTATATTGGATTCTACAATAATATGAAAAAAATGCAAACGATACTTACACGATGCTAAATAACGACCTTCTTCTGTCCGAAATATCGGTATTTCGACTTCATTATCATCTGTAAGATAAGTTCTTTAGATTGTTGTAGAATTATTAGGAAAGCATTATTGCGCATGTTAATTTTATCTCTTAGAAGTTAAACATTTCAATTAGCAATAAATAATCACAAAATATAATTCTATTATGTAAATTTATAGCATGCACATTAATTTAAATGTTAACAAACTATTAATTGCTGAAGATAATTATTGCAACTTTATGCACACAATATTGCACATTTTTATATAAATTTTAATTATATTTTAATAAAATTTTAAGTTATTTACATAATTGTTTGTATATACATGTATATTCCTTTTTTAATTTTAACTATCTTTTATAATCTAAAAATTATTTGATGCAATAATGCTTTTTAATCTTGCAGAAAGTGCTTCATGAAATGCTTGTGCAACATAATCACTCGACAAAACGTGACAGAATACTTAATTCAGTTTCGCTTTTAATATATATACAAATTCAAAATCTAAATTAAACAAGCAAAGACAAACATAACTAAGCAACAAACACGGTCGATCTAAATCTAAAAAGTGCATTAGGTGATTATATCTTTACGTACATAATAAATAATTACAGACAATTATTAATCAACAAACGTATAAATGTCAATTTTTCTTATATATATACATATATATCGATAAAAATAATCTTTTATCGTTGAATAAAACTTCTATATTATAACTTTTTTATTATTATACTATTATATTATAATATTATACGCAAAGCACACAGAATATAATATTTACAAAACTATATAGAGTATATACATATATAGATTTATTTATACATATTTATAAAAAATACAATGACACTTAGACGCCTATTGGCTTATTTTTGAATTAACAAGTTCACATTGTAATGTGAGCCTAGAATAAGATGCAATGAGTAAGAGTAAAAATGTATAAACGAGTTTATATTTTAAAATGAATAATAACATTGGAAAGACATGTGCTTCGCCATTTTTGTTTTGTGTGAACATCGACTCGTGCATTACATATAAAAAAGCTTTTGAAAAGACTGACATTTTTTTTAAGCTTGTGCCATTAATATCGGATCGAAAAAATTTAATGTCATCGATTTTACATGAAATAACGCGTTACATGCTTATTAATATATTTATACACATTGTATATGTATATGTATGTATGTATATGTATGTATGTATATGTATGTATGTATATGTATGTATGTATATGTATGTATGTATGTATGTATATGTATGTATGTATGTATGTATGTATATGTATGTATGTATATGTATGTATGTATATGTATGTATGTATATGTATGTATGTATATGTATGTATGTATATGTATGTATGTATATGTATGTATGTATGTATGTATATATGTATGTATGTATATGTATGTATGTATATGTATGTATGTATATGTATGTATGTATATGTATGTATGTATATGTATGTATGTATATGTATGTATGTATATGTATGTATATGTATGTATGTATGTATATGTATGTACATATGTTTATACATATATGATACAGGATGTTCCATTTTAAATTATCTACCCTAAAAACTTTTTTATTTTTGATTGTAGAAATGCTTCGGACAAACATTGTTAGATTGAACAAAAGTTGGCGCTATTAATTTTTTTCCAAATGCCGCTTTTTAAAATCATTTGAAGATCATTTACGTATTTTTAAATGAAACCTCAATTTTATTATATAAATTGATTCCTTGAAATTTTTATTTTAAAAAGTTATAAGATGACCAAAATGTAAACAGTTTACGAGATATTTTATATGTACTTAAATTTAACATAAACTATGAAATATCTTGTAAATCCATTTTTTGATGATCTTATTTTAATACTTTTGTACATAAAATAATGAAAGACATCAAGTGGTATAAATACATAGTTGTTTGTAAAAAAAGTACGTAGTTGCTAGTTGCTATTATACTTTTTCTTACAATCAACTATTTTCCCTTCAGGAAAAAGTCAGTAGCACCTTTATCTATTCTCCATCAAATAAAGCATATTTTGTTCTACAATCAAAAATAAAAAAATTTTGGGGTGGGTAACTTAAAATATAGGATACTGTATACATAAATGTAAAAATCAAATATATTTTACAATTCTAACAATTATAGAATATGCTTACAAGTTCTTTAATGTAAGTGAATTCTTTGTGTGTATGTGTGTATTTTGTGTGTATGTGTGTATTTTACAATCAATATTTTATATTTTACGCCGAAGGAAAAAATTCATGTAAAACCGTTATTTATAAAATATAGGTAATATTACATCATACATAAATAATTTTAAATAATTTGTCGAATTATTTCGAACAAAGATTTACAATGCACAATTGTGAGACAATTTGTGCGACAATGATGTCGTGTATACCAATAATGCTGATTGTTTACTAACCTAATCAGCAATCCAGTATTTCATCGCCGGTTAATCCGGTATAATAGAGCGACTACGATTATATATGATTTAATGTAATTTCATAAGAGAGACTGGATGTGCACGAGAGAAAAAACAAAATAACGTTCACATATCTTTCCAACGCATTTCTCTCTTTTTCTTTCTCTCTCTCTCCCACTCGCTTATTATACATATATAGCCTAAGTTATCTAAAAAGTTTAGTCTCTATGAAGAGTAATTGACTATCAAGTGTTGGCTGATAATTATCACAGAAAATTTCCATGAATAAGCGTAAATGTTACTTATATAAAAAAGAATTTAAGAGAAAGAAAAGAACGGACATTCTTGAAGACAATCGATAAGAGAGATCACTGTTGTGTTAATTATGAGTATTTGAATCAAGTTTTTGCTTCATTCAAGTTAGAATATTAATCGGAATCATTCTTGTTGTTATATATCGACTAAAAATCTTCGATAACTGATGAATTAGTTTTTCCTTTAATTGTTATATCTCTCCGAGTGGAGGTCTTCCATCTAAAATTTCTCAAGATGGGTCGTTGATTTTGTTAAGAGACATCCACTTTTTTCACACATAGAAAGTGCGCAATTGTCATGTTGGATAATTTTTATCTTATTTTTATTTTATTCTTTTAGATGAGTTTATTTTGGAATTTTTCTTCGTCCGTAAAATGAGGGAAAAAGTTGGATGATTCCGGAATGATCGTCTTGAAGAGTTTAGAATCTACAATTTGTCTTATTGTCTCTCTCATAATCGCTGTACATCTGTATCTACGTCTTGAGATTTCTCGACACGTTAACTCGCTTGCGGAATATGCCGGTAATGAGATTGGCGATCTTCATCGAGTTGTTCATTGACAGTTCCTTCTCCAGCGTGATGATATTGTGCACCGCTCTGCAAAAATCCTGGAGAGTCTGCAATTCGGTAATCCCTAGCGATTGCTGATTACTGACCCTCACCATGTCCTTTTTTACGGTGTCGCGTGCAATAAGGCCGCGTACCACGCACAAGTGTCGCAGATTCTCGGGTGTCTTCGAGAGTTCCGGGAACCGGACGATCAGGCAGAATCTCAAAGTGTTGCCGAGAGCGTGAGGACGCGCGGTCAGGAATCCGAGCTTTTGATCCCGCTTGAATTTCAGTTTCTTGTCAAATATCATCATTAATCTAGCAACCCTAACGTAGGCGCGACCTATCAGACCCGGCCGGTTCTCGCTAGTGCGACAGACGATCCTCAGATGATCCTGAACATTCACCCAAGCGGCGAGATCGCCGGCCGTGGTGACGTACACGCCGCGTCCGTAAGGCCAATGCTTGCCATGGAGACGCCGATCGTCGTTCAGGTCGAACTCTGTGATCGGCAAGAGTAAACCGGCCGCGGCCAATTGTGCTCGTATTCGGCTAGGCTGCTCGAGAATCTCGTTGAGAGTGAAGTACGTCCCGGCTTCGTCCTCGCTGCTGCCCTCTGCCATCAAATCGACGATCTCCGAGCTCATCAGCTGATTGGTGATTTCCCTCTCGACCTCCTCCAATTGATTCACGGTTAACGTCAACGGCAGACTATAATTGGCCAGATTACGGGTGCACTCTAAAATGCCGGCTTGGACGAATTTACCGGTCGGATCGAGATCGTACTGCGCGATCGCGGTGACAATCGCTTCTTCCGGCGGAGCCTCCTCGCTCTCCTCGTTCTCGACACTGAAGAAATGCGGTAACGTGTGATCGGACAAATCACCGCTCGCGCTGACGCAGTGCAGCTCCCGGATGAAAGGATCGAAGAACTCCGTGAAGACGACGTAGCTTTCGAAGTCGGGCGCCACCGCCCCGTAATTTCCGTGATCCTCGTCCGCGGTGTTCGAACTGAGGTTCGAGCGGGCACTGCTGATCTTGCTACCGTTGCCCGTGACGGTACCGTACCTTTTCAAAGCGGGCCAGATCACGTCAAAGAGATTGTGGTCCATGCGAGTCACACGGTGCTTGATCAAATCGAATACGGGCCGTGTCAAGCTACGAGCGATTAGTGTACCGGCGTTCGACGGCGTCTTCGGTATCGACGATCGCCGGTTGCCCGCCAGCAATCGGAAACATCGCTCCAGCGTGGTCAGGACCTCGGGTTCGCTGACGTCACGTCGGGCTGAGTAGATATCACCTCCGGGAACTGTAGATCTCGGCCGAGAATTGACAGCAGCGGTGAGTGAAAGAACAGCCGGATTAACAGCCATCACGAGATCGTTGAAAGATATATAGATTGACGCGAAAGCAAATTTCACGGTTCAATATATGATGATTATCGAAGAGTCGAAATTAGGTTTTAGATGAAATATTTCCTTAAAGAGGTATCGCAGCTATAAAGCTGCTTTTTATCTTATAATTTAAGATATTGCGGTCCTCTTTATGTATATCTAATGCTTTAGTTTTATGATGAGTTAATATTTTAATCTCAAGAACTTTATGAGATTATTAATGCAATTGTAAAATGGCTGTAAAGCTGATTTACAATTGTATCGTGATGTTTTATTATATAAAATTTATCGTAAAATTTTTACTAGTAAGTACAATAACTATATAGCATATTTAAATATTAAAAATATTAGTTAAATAAATATTATATAATTAATAAAGTGACCCTATTTTACATACCTAGCTAACACGCTGAAATGTTAAGTGTCGAATTGATTATGTGCTTTTATAAAAATAATATCGAACGAAGCAAGTCAAATTAATATCACAAAATCAGAAAGTCAGTAAAAAGGAGAAATACTTGTGCGCTTAACAAGTATATCGATTGGGATTCTTACGCGGTATTTCAGGGACGACTTGATTGCGCTTGTCTAAAAAAAAAGAATAAATCGATCATGAACAAAACTGGACATTATTAAGGTAATCGAGAATTAACACAGTTTCCTGTGCGGAGGAGAAACAATCAATGGATATTTGACAAAATCGCGACACATAGCGTATACTTTTGTGCCAAGTGCGACGATTGTTGGAGATCTTTACGAAGATTTCGACTTAAATCGGAACGATTCTCAATCACAATACAAAACGAAGGATGACGTCGCGAGGAGAAGTGCCCGGATTATTTGCCGCGCGCGACTATTTTTACAATTATTATCAATTAGTGCTCACTACTAAAATGCCTCAAATAAAATAATACCTTTATCTGTCAACATTTCGTCGGCAAGCCTCTCGCTAGCTCCGAAATCGCGAAGAAGTCGTTTGTGCGATAGGTCGTTTTGATTTTGTTTGTAATAATCCGCCTTTTGTTCGAACTGCACGAAAGAAAAATAATGTTCCATGTTTCGCTTGCAATAATAAATATATGAAAAAACTTCAACCATTTATTAGAATTAAGTAATTCTGTATTTTTTAATTAAAAAGCTAAAATATAATTATAATAATTTTCTTATTATTAAAGTTATTTTAATCTAATAAAAATTTTAGTATTTATTTATTAGGAACAAATAATTTTATATTTTTATTAAAATTTAAAATATTTTTTCTTTAAAATTTATACAGAATTTTCGAATTTTATAATTGAAATATAAAGAAATTTGATCGAAAAAGAAACTTTTATTTTTTATTAAATTTAGAAATTTTTTCTTACTGCAAAAATTCTGTATTAATTTATTTTCAATCAAGCATTTTAATAATTCTGAAATTTGATTAATTCTTATAATAAAAAATTAATACAAAATTTTTTGAATGAGAACAACTTTTAAATTTTAACTATAATATAAACTTATTAGATTCTAATAATTTTAATAATTGCAAAAATAAATACAGAATTTTTGCACTATATAAAATTCAAAATTTCGCGCAAAATTCAAATTGTGCATACGATTTTAACTAAATAATGAAATTTTTCAAGAAAAGAGAAAACATTTTTTCTCTCATTGCGAAAATCGTGCGCACAATTACGCCACTTCGTAATTGCGAAATTGCGATAGTAATAATGAAAATCATCTAATAATAGAACTCACGTTGTCTTGTATTAAAGGATTGGCGCCTAGATGTAGCAAGAGGTTATAGTAATGACCGTTATCCGCAAGTGTCGCAGCGTAATGCAACGGAGTACGTCCGTCGAGATCGATTGCATTGGCGGTTTCTGGAAACCTTCCCGCTAGGTACCTGAATCAGGTATAAAATATTCAATCTAAAGTGACGTGGGTAGATAGTGCAGGCCTGTGGATAGTTTATAGCCTGTCATTTGTAATGAGAACCTATCGATATAGTTGGATGAATTGTAAACTGATTCGATCGACAGCAATCGGTTGGTCAGGCATAATTAAATGATCAGAATATTATTGTCGAACAAGAAATAGCCGTGCCTGTTTTATTGAATCGTCGAAATAGTTATGTATTATATATAAGAGTATATATATGTATATTATGTATATATATGTGGGTAAAAATATGTCAAGTACCTGATGACAGCAGTATTGCCAAATACAACTGCAACATGCAATGGCGTTGCACCGTGGGGTGACGATTCGTCTCGTGCCACTGCAAATTTGCGCCTATCTAGTGCGCTTTGCAGATCGCGAAGATTTCCTTCTCGTGCTGCCATGTGTACGGCATGAATTTTTCCCTAATATTGAGGAATGTGATTTATATTATAATTTAGTTTATATCATTGAAACGTTGGTACGCATATTAAATTTGATGCGCACCAAAACTTTAGTACGCTTACATCGAATATACAAAGGGAAAAAGATAATACAAATTTAATTTATTTTAATATTATTTGAGAACCACATAAAATTAATGATATCTAACAAGTTTTAATTGAAATTATGCTCAACGCTAAACCACTAAATTACCTTCAAAATGCATTTCATGCGTATCATTTGGTACACGTATCAGTTTAGTACATGGCCTAGTTTACATCGATCGTTTAATATGTGTATCAAGTAGCAAATAACTAGTAAATTGGTTCAGTTATTGACTGATTAACTCAAACACACTACTTAATATATGTATCAAATGCTCGATGTAAACTAGGCCAATGCTCCTACTTAATACGCTCGTACCAAATTGATCTGGCAACGTTTACATCGTGTGTATTAAATATTTAGTACGAGTTTGGTACAAATATAGTACCTGATACGCGTATCAAGTGCACGATATAAACTAGACCTATGTATATACATAGATATGTATAAAACATATACAGGGTATCTCAGACCTACCGTATAACCTGTTAATAGCAAATTCCTGGGATCATTTGAAGACGATTTTTTCTCAGGGAAAATGTCGAGGCACTAATAATTTTCGAGTTATAAACGATTAAAAATTTACACTTTTTCGTAAGTCTTATGGAAAATATTAACAAAACGACATTTTTTAGTTAATATAGAGTTCACTTTAATAGAATTTTAATTTAAGGGTTAGTTACAAAGATACATTTGGAAACCTGTAAAAATTATGGCTTTCCTCAACATTTTCTTTGAGGAAAAATCATCTCCAAATGATCTACCATCTATCTGGAATCTACCATCAACAAGTTAGGCTATACGGTAGATTGGAGACATCCTACATGTTTTTTCTAAATCTATTACAAAAAAACGTACCATGTAAGTTGGAACGTTATCGATGAATGCCTGGAGTTCCGGATTTCCGGATTGTCTTCCAACCAATCGTCTACCTTCGCCATTGAGAACCAGAGCTGCCAATTGTTCCATATTTCCGTTCTCCAACAGATTCTCCACTTCCAAATCACGACCCATGCTACCCTCGTCCAATTCCACTTCGGCAGGTTCTTCGTGTTCACCAACGATGACCTGCTGTCATATTTAGATATACAATCATGCGCGCGACTGGACGGTTCATGGGCAATCGATAGGAGATATTAATCGCATGTAGGAATCCTACACGCGAATCGATCGTCTGTCTCTTGCCGCGCCTACGCGTACGTTTATGCATGCATACATAATGTTCGTAAAAAAAGTGTTGTTGTTGAATGAGCCGAATCGATTTCTACCTAAAGAACTGTCAAATATGTTATTTCCAGTTGATTAAAAAATATATCTCTTTTTTAATGTAAAAAATATACTATTATTATATTATTATTGAATGTGTAAAAAAAGAGTAAGTATTAAAAATATGAAAAATAATATTGAAATTTAAAAAAAAATGTATTACCCATGTGTACAGTTAATACATATCCCAAGTATTCCAAGAGCAGACATAGATAGAGAAATCCCGGCTTCTTCTTTGTATTATACAAGAAACAGTGCAGTGTGATGGTGACAAAACAATTCAGACAGTACCTGCTCCTCGTCGACACCGGAATCGCCAGTGCTGGGTTCGTTTCTATCCTCGTGCTCAACAGCGATTTCCTCGATCTTCGGGGATTCCTCGTCGATTCCGATCTCAATATCGGCGGCTTCAGGTCCGTCCTCCTCGTCTTTCGTCGGTTCCGCGACAGGCCCGATTACCACATCATCGTCCGAGGATGCCTTTTCCTCGTCCTCTTTCGTTTCCTCCTCTGCCGTTTGTTGTTCCTCCTCGTTCATTTCCTCCGGATTTTCCTCCTCATTATTTGCCTCATCTTCATTTTCGTTCTCTTCTTCTTTTTCATCTCCATTCGGGGTCTCGGGCTCCTCCTTCTCCTCCTCTTGTTGCTCGTCATCAGCTTTCTTAATCTGTTCCACCAAATCTCCCATATAATATTCTTCGTATCATAGACCTGAAATTGCGAATTGACTCGGGGGGACTCCCCCTTCTATCCGAAAAAAATCTCTACTGTTCGACTACTCATTCCGGATGTGACACTACACCGGGATGCCTTTCTATGTCTGACTACGCGTGCAATAAGTGCGCTAAATATAATTACTAATCAATACAAAAATAATGAATATTGTTAGAGACAAGATCGAACAGGCAAAATATTGTGCGTATAATTACAAAAAATAGATTAATAACAAATATACCTCCTCATTCGAGCCGTCCTTAGTTGTAGACTCGGCGCTACCAAAAGCACTGTCATCGCTGCTAATTATCTTTTTCATTCCTCGCAAAGCGGCTTGTCCCAACTCTAGGATCTTCCAGTCCCAATTCTTGGGAGAAGTAGTGGAGGCTCGAGGCGCATCCGGTATCACCGACAAATTTGACAAGTCCACGTCGGAAGGGCGATTCTTATAGAATGCAGCCGCCTTTTGCCTCTGATAAATATAATTATACCGTAGAATGTGTTGATTTTGCATGATTATGTTTTTTTCCTAGAGATCTAATGTAGCACTCACGTTATCCAATTTACTCTCGTCAGCACCGTGTTCTACCAGAAGATCGTACATGGCGCCGTCATCTTTAAGTGCAGCTGAATAATGCAACGGTGTCTTTCCCTCGTTATCCTGGGCGGCTACCGTTTCGGGACGCCTTTCGAGAATTTCACGCGCCATATCCGCATATCCCAAACCAGCGGCCTTTCAGTGGAAGGGATAAAAGCGATTTGAATCGTGCTTTGCTTCTCAATAAGTTAAAAAAGATTTATTGGACAGCTCTCTCTTAAGCACTTATATGTATACCTTATGTAAGACGTTTAAACCGTTGCTGTCTTTGCCGCACAAAACAATGGGCGAAATAGGTCCTTCAAATTTTTCCTTGAAACCTTCCACATCATTGTTAATGACTGTTGTATGGACGTCTTTTACTGTGCCCTAGAAAAGTTGCAGCAATTTGATTCGATAACTGTGTTTAAGCTGTTAAATTATATGTATATTGATGTCTTTAGTCTTTATAAATAACTAAACGCACAAGCGAAAGAAATGATTTTTTCATTATACTATAATAATATACCATGATAAAAGGTATGGCCTCTAGAAATTTTCTTATCCGAGGATTGTTGCTGGTTTCGCATCGAAGTTTGGACCCATGTCCCTCCCACAGTACATGCTGCAACTTTCCGATGTCTCTGTTGTGTATCCATATCCTGATATTGGAAGGCTTGAAATCCAAATCTTGAATACAAGAAACGTTATAATTTAAACAATATCTTGAAACGTTCTTTTTTTCATGTCAAGAAAACTGGTGCAGCAAAATTTGCTCTTCATTGTATTAATAAAACTAATAAAGTTATTGGAAATACTTCTCAAATAATGTAATTCGATAGAAAAATATAAATATTACAAAATATAGATGTATTAGACAACTATATATTTTTTAATTATCTTATACTATTTAATCGAATTTTGAGAATTAGCTGATAAATAAATCGTAAATTGATTTTCCTTTATCGTATAATTTTATCACGGAATATATTATGTAAAAATACGATACATACAACCTGATTCAACTTGATCTTTTTACGATTATTATCATATTTAATAACAACCTCAAGTTTATTAAGTATTTATGAGTGACGAGGAATTCTTGAGTCGCGTGTTATTACAAAGACATTAAATATTTGAGAAACACTCGACACGAGAAATCTGTAAGTCAATAAATGTCGGAACGATTCCGTTATAGAGTACAATGTGTGTATTTTTATGACAGGAAAATTTCCCGTCGAAATATAGAAATATGTAAAAATCTTTTTAAAAAGAATAAACACTCAACAAATCTTAATATAAAAATTACAAAATTTTTATAATATCCATTACTTTTTTTATAAGAATTCGTCATATTACATATGCCAAGAATCATAATTTATAAAAGCAAAAAATGATAGATATTGCAAGGTAAATGCTAGGGTTGAGTAAAATAATGATTTTTTTAAACTAAGTTAAATTACAGTTAGTTGCTTATAAAATGAATTTAGTCCAGTTAAAAGTTGCATGAACAAAAAATTAACTCAGTTAAAGTTAAGTTAAGATTAAATTACCTGAAGTTTTAAAAGTTAATTTTTAAAAACATTATTTATATTAAATTAGAATTTTGTTTGTTAATTCTTTTAAAATTTATAACAACAAATAACAAAGAAATTTTTGATTTTTATATAGAAATATATTTTTTGGTAATTACAATTAATGACAAATAAACATAAAAATTAATAATACTTTAATTTAAAAATAATACATTTATAACTTATTAAAAAAAAACAACAGCTATATTCAGAAATTTAAAAAAATTTAATTTAGGAAAAATGTTAAAAAGTTTAAGGTCAAAAATAACTAGTTAAAGTTAAAAATTAATACATTTTAAATTAACTAAGTTAAAAGTTATTAACTTTTTAACTTTTTTTAACTTCCCTTGGTAAATGCAATATATGGAACAATTCTGCTTGCTTTGTGTATTTGATTCTCAGCGTTATAAATAAATTCGACCGCATTCAATTTGATATGTATCGGTATACGTACGTGTCTTCGATAATACTGTTACATGCATGTACATATGTAATATTTTATGCCATCTCGAATCATGTGAATGGCGTGAATGGCGTGCGCAAACGTCAAATTGATAAATTTTCTAGGAAATGAAATGGGGAAAGGAGAGAACTGCCATATTATACTGACACCGAGTTACACGTCTACAATGCGTATAGATATTGCATTTACTCGGTAAAGAGTACCTGTGATACGCGGCTCACATTGTTTACAACTCTTTACCTGCCATGCACCGATGTCTAATAAATTATATCCATATGATCACGTTCGTAGAAATTCTCGCTATGTTCACGCAAGATTTTTTTAAGATTGAACGAACAAATTCAACAATGTAACAATTTATTTTTCATTGTATCAAAAATATTATTTAATGTACGAATAATTCTGATTACAAAGTGACCAATTTTTTAATCCATGAAAAAACAGGAGAATGATGTGCGATATTTATTAGAATATTTTCATGTACAAAAGATGAAATATTAAGTGATAATTAATTTTATTTTATTGCACAAACAATATAATTTTCTTATGCAATGTTGTATATGAAGCATAGACGATTACTGGAATGTGTGTTTACCGGAAATTGCTTTGGTTTGCAATCTTCGAGCTAGCATGCTGAAGAATGAAGAACGCGAGTTCCTATCATTTTTTAAAATCGACCTCTTTTACTCGTTGACGATGAGTCGATCCATGATATCTATTTACGTACACGAAGCCATTTCAAGGAAAATGGCTTAATGAGGAAAAAATCTCATTTCTTTTCAGATAACATTATCTTGTTTTGCAAGTTATTACAACTTATTTCAGAGTTATTTTAGAGTTTGTATTTTGACTATCAATGCATTAATATTTAAGATGCACTAGAGTGAGTATATAAAAAATTTAGTACATACCTAGAACATGATGTATGTCAAATAAGAACATGTAGAACATTAACTTTTAAACTATTTATTATAAAAAAATGAAGAGGATGACATGATGGGCTTCTGTATTAATAAATTATCCAGTTATTCCAATCGTTGTCATTTATTGTCCAACATCTTTGAAATATATTTTTCATCATTTTACAATATATTCTCTAGGTAAAGATCGCTATATCAAACGAATCTGTCGTGATAATTATTTTTTCGTGTACATTTTTTTCCATATATGGTAGTTTTATCTTCATTATAATTCCTGGACAATTTCAAATAAATTTGCGTTTGGTGATTATAATGATTGAGGTATCCCTCTAAACTAATATTTGTCTGTTTAATGAGAGCATAATTATGGGAAAACTTCTGTGTTTGGAAACCATTACATCGAAAAATTTCCCACAAGCAAGTAGAAGAGTTCTTCCTTTTCGACACATTCAGAGGTCTCACTTATTGGAGCCTTCAAAAGAATAACAACGAATTCTTAATGGAAAGAAGAAAATGATGAAATATTAGACTGACTATCAAAGTCACCAAATGCAAATCTAATTGAAAATGTTTGAAAATTAATGATAAAACTGCGTGGAAAAAAGTGTGCACGATAAAATAATTATTTCGATAAATTTATTCGAAATGACGATCTTTATTTCAAGAGTATGCTATGTAAAATTGGCATGTATGCTTGGAAGATGTCAGGCAATAATTTACAACGATCTATTAAAAGTGTCGTAATACTAATTGAATAGTACATATGTGATTTTTTCTTTTTTTTTCCCAATAAATATTTTAAAAGTTTATATACCTAACGCGCTCTTATCAGACATACTTTCTTTTCCCTTTCACATTTAGCAGGTGTTATAATTCATGCTGGATGAACGCGCGCGCGGTAATTCCCCGTTTCGATCCGTGTCGTCGTATCGAACGTCGCAGTTAACCTTGCCTTACGAATTTATGTGCTATCGATTTTTCCCGGTCATTAGAAATGAATACGTGAGCTATAAGGCAAAGAATCTATATCCGCGAGAATATAAGAAATATAGAACGAGATCATTATAAACTATATATAATAGCTTTGTCGCAAGGTTGCCCAAAGTTTTTTCGAAATCGTCTTATAATGATATATAATGATATATATAAATATATAACTCTGACCGGCAAACTTAGAGAAGACGAAACGTTTAATATTTTTTAATTGATTTTATTATTTATGCGCGATGTTTAATAGAAAAAGTTAATGGATATACCAGGGTTGAGTAATAACTAATTAATTAGTTAAAAGTTTATTATTTTTTACTTTAAACTTATTAACTTTTTTCTAAGTTACATTTTTTTAATCTCTAAATATCATTTTATTGTTTTTTATAACTTATAAACGTATTATTTTTAAATTAAAGTATTATTAATTTTTATGTTCATTTATGTCATCAATTGTAATTACCAAAAAATATTTTCTATATAAAAATCAAAAACTTTTTTGTTATTTGTTGTTATAAATTTTAAAAGAATTAACAAACAAAATTCTAATTTAATATAAATGTTTTTAAAAATTAACTTTAGAGTTATATAACTTCTGTTAATTTAATCTTAACTTAACTGGATTAATTTTTTGTTCATGCAATTTTTAACTTAATTAAATTAACTTTAATCAACTAACTTTAACTTAACTTAGTTTAAAAATATTATTAACGTATCCAACCCTGGGATATATTTTCAAGGATATAGCAAGGGTTCAGCAATACAAGCTATTTTGAAAAAGTATAAAAAAACTGATTTTTCTTCAGAAAAGAAGAAACATTGTGCACATCACGCATGTGACGTAGAAAAAAGGAAGACGAATATAATCGATTGAAAATTTATAAATATTTTATGTTAAAATGAGGATATCTGTACTCACAATCCCTCCCTGTGCTTTTTCTTCGTCGTGACATCACTTCCGCTTCGGGCAATGCAATTTCTGTGGGATGTTCCAAGTAATATGCGGCCGGGTTTCCTTTCTTGTCGCAAATGCTAGCGTCACATCCACTTTCTATAAGAAGATCCCAGATTGAATCGGGATCTTTACATGCGCAGCAATAGTGTAAAGCTGTTTTTCCCTCCTAAACATAATATTATATAGTAAAATGTGCAAATTTAAATTTAGAAGTTTTATGTCTTCAATGTGTAAGTACAAAAGACAAAAGTATCGAACAAAGATGGGCTTTGGGGATTGATATGCTAGGCTAGAATCGCTAGAATTTTTTATCTCGGATATATTTCCTACTGTAAGCTGACGTCTGCGAGAGAAGAACAGGTGGTTTACACTTCGTTATTATCCGCGTCACGCGATGCGGGGGTTATAATAAACGTTGCTAGAAGCACAAACTGGAGGGAACCTAGTCAAGCCTCTGTTCAGAGGACTTTCTTCTCGAGAGAGTTGACAAACATTTATTTTGCGGTACAATTCCGCGTCGCGAAAATGGGCCTCGACTATCGTGAATTATAAAGGACGATTGATCGAAGCTCATGCTCATTAAGATCTATATATGTAAAATGAATTAATTAAAGAAGACATCGCTTTTGAAATAAAGACTTGGGAAAGGTTTGTCGAACTAATTCTATCGCTACATAAAATGAAGATCAATGCTTTTTATTATTAATGCCAACTCTTGAAGTTGATGTCCATAAGACGCTTTTACTACAATAATTTGAATGTGTGTACAATTGAATTTCTTATGATACACACACACACACAAATATATTCTTCGGTTTATAGCAAAGGGATTAAGTATCTTACAAGTAGGTTCCAATTCGTTTGCATGGTTTCGAATTTTCTACGATTATTTCCAAATAAAAAGAGAAAACAGTATTTGCAAATCTAAAATTCGAATATAACTGTTCTAGACTCAATTACTTCGCAAAAGTATAATATATGAAATATTATTTCTGATTATTATTCAAATTTCCTAGAAAGTGAAATTTGATGTTCGGATTCGACTTGGATTTTTAAGTAGATACATATTGAACTCGATTTCATCCTCTTTTTCGAGCCCACTCCATTCTTTGGTAAAACTGCGAGTTTTAAAAGAAAGCAACGTACTTTATCTCTCTGCTGCGGCGTGATAGGATAATTTTCTATGAGCCAGGCGACAATGTCGGGTTGATCGTGATAGACAGCTTTGTGTATTAAGGGCGTGCCGCAAGGATCTTTAGCGATCGCCAGCTTCTTCTTCGACTCTTCGGCTATGACTTTCTGGGTTTCAGCTAAGGAGCCGCGCGCAACGGTATCGTGCACTTGAGAGACTTTCGTCTGAAGAACAAATACCAGATATTAAATATATTAATCTTTATTTTCGTGGTGATTCGTTGAAGGAAATCTTCACCGAAAAAATTGTTTTCTCAAAATGCATACTTTATGAGTCCTCTTAATAAATATTCTTAATGAATAAGAATATTTCCCTCTTTATATGATGCTTTTTGGAATGTCTTCTTAAATTAAGAATCTATTCTTTAATTTCAAATAATACGCTGATAAATAATTATCTCATTAAGTATATATTCTTACATGTTACGAATATTTAATAAAAATATCTAATTAAAGAATATTTCTTTAGAAAATTTTCCTTTTAAATTAAGAGAACCCCTTTCACGCCTATTTAGAGGAAGATTTTATAAAGATAAGGCATATTAAGATAAGAATACAATTTTTTTGGTGTTGCCAATTTAAAAATTCTTTCAAATAGATTGAACTTTTCTATGACCACTTGGAGAAATCCATATGTGTAATATTTTCTTACCAAATAATTCGGGAGTCCCTTCAGGAAGACACGAGTTCTAAGATCCGGTGAATTTTCGCCTAATAAACGCGCGCCTCGACCCTCTAACACAACATTTTCCAGTTTCTCAAGTTCGCCACGTTGCAACCAAGTTTTTATGGCCGAAGAATTCATTTGAGCCTCTGTAATAAAACAACAAAATCACATTAAAAATATATTAATTATAATATAAAATTAAATAATTAAAATTAAATAATTAAAATTAAATAATTAAAATTAAATATAAAATTAAATAATTAAAATTAAATAATTAAAATTAAATATAAAATTAAATAATTAAAATTAAATATAAAATTAAATAATTGTAATATAAAATATTTTTTAAAGATATATTAATTGTAATTATTATGTAAAACATATACATATTTATAATTTGTAAAATATCTTTTACAAATATTATAATTTTTTTCTTCCAAACAATTTATTTCATTTTACAGAAAGCATGATTGTATTCGCAATTGATGATGAAAATTACATAAGAACATCTTGATATGCATTTTGCAATCTATAAAGGGCCAACAGATAGAAGACAGTTATTGAGGTTCCTCTCTATTATTGATTTGCATGTTCTGACGGCATATTCAAACTGTATTTTCGATCGCACATCCATAATGCTATACGATTGCTACATGATTGTCGGCTCAGAATGTAATAACGATATTCATGACATGCAAAATTTAATATCTGGCGGAAGCTTGCATAGAAAGATGTTCCGATATGTAGTTGAATAAGAAAATATTAATATATATGTTCGTGGTTTTGCAAGAAATTTTTAATTAGATTTCCCGATTACTGAAACTTAATTATTGAATTATACATTTCGCAATAAACATCATATTAATCCAATTATAATGTATGCAGTTTCAATAATTATTTTACTAATTTAAAATATGCCATGTTGTATTACAAAATTCTAAATATTAATCAACTATACATATATATCTGTAATTGTGTTGACTAACGACGATTTATATAAATAAATTATAATTGGCGTGCTGTATCGCGTTAAATCTTGCTGGCTATTTACTTAAACTACGCGCAATTAATAGAACATTCTGACTTTTCCTCTTATATGAATCGGTGAATTCCCTGCTTCTGTCTATTACGTGAGTGGAATTCAGTAGAATAAAAATATACATATATGATGTTACACACAGTAGTAACACAGTAGCAAGTGATTTATATGATTTTATTCATGTACAGATCTACGCATCTATCATCTACCACTGAAGATCCATTAATTACATACATTATTTTAATGTCTGTTGATAATGATCTTTTATTCTAATGAAGATGCGTACGATGCATTCCGATAAATATATTCAGCAAGTAAAATTTGTTTCTTTCTCTCTCTCTCTTAACACATTTTCTTTGTTATTTTATTACAGTTGCATTATTTATAAATACATTATAAATATATTATTGCAAACATATTACAATTGTAAATTTTATATCAATATATAAATATAGATTATAATCATTTTTTTTAATTTTATTATATTTTCATGTTTTGTTTTTCTAGAGGATGTAGCAAAATTTGTAAACACTGAACAAAACGTTTCGTGTTTGTAAGATAATTCGTAAGATTCTTATGCGTGAACTTTCAACGTACGATCGTTAATTAAAACGAAAGATGACTATATGCTTGAAATATGTGCATCTACTTTTAAGTTTAAATAGATAGTAAAAGAGAACAAACAGAACCTAAGGTAGATCTCAATATAAATTATTTAATATTTTATATTTAAATTATATGATGTCGGGAAAACAATCAGTGCATTGATTTTACATAATTATATATATATATATATATATATATATATATATATATATATATATATATTTTTACATAAAATTTACGCTATCTTTTAAAGCGAGAACAAAAGTATATTTTACCAGTTTTCTCAAATCAAAAATTCATCACGTTTTTTAATGTGTCTGTTTCAGTAGATAAATAAAAAACAAAAGATTTATATAAATTCGACGTACTATTAAATTCAGAAGCAATATCAAAAATTTTCGACATCTATACGAATAAAATAAAAGGAGACTTCCTCTTATTTCTGAACTGAAGAAGATTAACAAAGAAAAACTGAATCTCTCGAAGCATGAAGCAAAAGTACCTGCTCGGCTCTACGATCGTCATTTTGGATTGACGAATTAGTCCCTGCGATTCGAATAATATCTGCAAGTACCGACTGTGTCGAACTATGTATACGGCACGCTCACACACACATGCACGCACGCACACGCAAAACTAGGCCTCGCGACGTGCGACACGAGAAAGCGTCGCACGTCGAATGAAGCCGACGTTCAGCGTCGCGACGCCACGAAGGGCGGCCGGTTTCCTGGAGCGATTCCCGCGAACGAGAACTCTCCTTACGGGGAGAGAGAGAGAGAGAGAGTCGCCTTCGGACGAATAAATAAAAGATTAAGATCGATCAAGAATTCATGTTCGCAGTTCGCGAACGATAGTAACAGAGTCACGGAGTAATTTCTTCCGGAGTGAAATTGCATTCTTTCATGTACACATATATATATATATATATATATATATATATATATATAGCGTCATATGTACAGTGTTTGCTGTTATCTAAATAAAATATATAGATGATCATCTAGATAAAATTTTGACGTCATCTTATTTTTATATAGATAATAAAAATATATATTATCTATATATCTACATTTTAGATGAAAAAAGTGTTATCTTTATACCAAATTATGTAGAATAATAATGTTCAGATAATTTGCTTCAGAGTCATAGCACATAAAAATTACTCAAGCAGTAAACGATAAAAACTTACAAATAAAAGTATGAATATATTTTTATATCCCTTTTATAATTTATATTTTTTAAACTGTGTTTACCTAAGCAATAATTTTAAAAATAATATTATCTAGAAATTGCCTAGATATGAATCGCTATGTAATTTTATCTTTATCTAGATATATTTAAATTACCTTTCTCTTATTTAAGATAAATTTACATATTTTCAATTTATCCTTATCTAAATAATTTAAAATTATCTAAACACAACACTGCATATGTATGTTTGATCGACTTATAAAATAGAATAAATAATGCACCGCCGGCCTGTTTATTTCTCATATCTTTGGTTGTGTCAATAACCGCGAGACCGTGTGTGACATAGTTGTCATCGTAAATTAGATCCGAGATAAGTGTAGCCTAGAAAGTTAGGTTACCAAAAGTCTGATGAAACGTGAGCCTTCCAATAACCTAATTCGCGTGTCATATTCTTTTTCTGGTAATTATGCAGAGATAAGGATGAGCCTTCTCGATTTCGAGTTTTAAAATATATGTCAAGGTTATCACCTTGAGCAATATGTTGAAGATTCTAACCGGCGCTTATTTATTTATTAATAAGCAGTTAATAATAAAGAAAGTATAATGAATAGAATATGCAATTTTCTACCCAGGTAGCAAACCGACGCCATTAAACGTTAAAATGACGTCATTTTACCCTTATAGAAATTTATCACTAGTAACGCCAATTTATCACTTATTTCGAGTACTTAAATTACTGTATATCATTATTCTAAGTACTCGAAATAAGTGATTAATTGGCGTTACTAGTGATAAATTTCTATAAGGGTAACGTCACATACCGTCATTTTGATGTTTAATGATGTCAGTTTTACTACTTGGGTATGACACCGCATAGATAAAATTTATATAAAATTTAATTAATATAAAATTCTAATCTAACTCAAATCCATTTTTGATTATTAAATTAAAATTAGACTCGGATTAGGTTAGAATTTTTTGGAATGGGGATGTAAGCTTACACTATATTAATATATTTATTTTGTTAATAACTTTTTAATAAACAATGAGTGCCAGTTAAAACCTGCATAAGATGATTACTCAAGATGATGACCTTGTCATTTTAAAATTATCGAAATTGGGAGTGGCTCCTTATCTTTACATAATCATTCTTTTTTTTTTTTTACCTACTTTTTTAGGGGAGATTGAAGGAATTATTGAAGTTAAAACTTTCGAATTACTTTAGGGAGGAACAGATGGGTCTAATAAAAAATTACTTGAATTAGAGAGAGAGAGAGAGAGAGAGAGAGAGAGAGAGAGAGAGAGAGAGAGAGAGAGAGAGAGAGAGAGAGAGAGAGAGAGAGAGAGAGAGAGATTTAATTTAATTTCTTGATATTGTACCAAAAAAATTAATGCCCTACGAAGGATTCGCATCAGAGTTTCAACGAAAAATTAATTTTTCCTTGCAATTATCGCACTGACATTTGCATTTTAGGTTCTTGCATCTGTTAACGTTAAATATCTTTTTTGTTTCTTGAAAAAATAAATGTATTATTATATTTTATAAATTAATAAACGTTTAAAACATCAATTTAAAGAAAAGTAATTACTAATTTTAAAATAGAAAGAGTGTTGATGTATTATAGGCGAGCGTCTATGTTACGCAATAAACTCATCAGATAGAGTGATTTCATTATACAAATGACATACGTAGCATTATTAAAGTTGCGTGAGAGGTCAAGAGTATATGTTTCTGAAAGCTGACAATGAAATATTTTTTAGTAAAAATGTCAATATAACTGAATGATTATATATTTTTGTATCATTTATATTAATTTGCAGTAATAATTAATTATATTTAACATAACGAAATAACCAGAAACAAATTCTGCGAATTAATAAGATATATACGTATTTTTGAATAAAAAAAAAAATATTAATCGAATAGAGAGTGTACAGTTATTTAAAATAATCTCGGTCGATATATTTTCCTGAAAGAAAACGCTTCAATGGATGACTTTTATATCTCTTTCATCAGCCCCAATGTACATATGGACATGTAAAAAACGATTATTGACTGTGTATAATCATAAATATTCCTACATGTATATTTATTTCGTTCTAATTTGTGATATTTTCTATTTTCTTTTTATTTTGTATTATTTATTTATTTTTTTTATTTTTGCATCACGATGTTCTATATTAATGGGTACAGTGCAATGACACATCGATCATATACTGCAGTTTATAAGTATCTCTATATTGTCTTGAAATGCTCTTCGACCGATTTTTAAATAAAATTGTAGCAAAATAATACAAAGTTCATAAATTAAAATAATTGAGTTAGTATATCAGGTTTAAAATATTTCTTATATATTTTTTACTCAAATAAGTGTTTTAAAATAACATCTATAATAAATTAATTTCAGAGAAACATCTGTTTTAAGTTGTAATGTAGTATGAAGAACCTGCCTGCGTTTTTAATTAAGGTATTATTATTATTATTTTTATTATATACTTTTTAACGGCATTTTCTAATTATATTATCGTGAAATTGAAAAAAATTGTAACTAACTAAATAACAAAAAATATTTTTGTATCCCGTAGTTCACTTGATAAGGACCAAAATCAATAGTCGAAACGTCGTGATCTACATTCTTAAAATCTTGCCAGTTTGGTCGTTAAATAATAAATAAAGAAGTTTTAAATTAATTTCATTTAAAAACCGAGAAAATAAATCATACAAAATATCTATATTTAAAATTTCTTAAAATTATAGTAATCACCTTTTTTGAGCGTAGCTCCCCGGGTTCAATTAAGAATTAAAATATCGTCTTGATAAGATGCAGATAAATATAGTACGCTATACTATTTAATAAAAATCTCCATCTTCGCTCATTCGCAATTCGTTAACAATCAATGATACTATTCGATTTGTTACCGTATCGATAGTATTCTCCTGATTCATCGTATTGCAAATTTTTTTTCTATCCCGAATCAGCACAAACACGTTCGAAAGCTATGAGCCACTTCGTAAGACTGACGATGTATAGTTTTCCACGTGTCCTATTCATCCAAGTTCTATATTATTCACAAGAGGTATATAGTTGGAGAATATAGCCTTAGCGCGCTATATAATGCCACACGTCGATTAACGACAACGATAATCAAGAATTCCTTAATAATCAATATATTTAGGGATGATCAACTATTTACTGTTCTGGCTATTTTCGGAAATTTGCGAGAAACATATCTAGGTTACGTACCTACGTAATTATCATTTTATATGAAATATTAAACAAAATTCTTATAAGATTTGAACAAAAAATAAAGGCGGAGTAATTTATTAAATTTCAATGATAATCTGTTTCTAATGTAGCGCAAATATATTATTACCCGAATAATCGATTCTGCTGAAATTTATTTAGGATAACTTGTGTCCCACTTACATATAATATGTTTCGCGTAAGAAAGTGTTTTATAAAGTTAGCAGTTGTATATATGTACATGTAATCGATCACACATATATGATGACCATTTATGTAGAAGAATACCCTAACTGCTGTATATTAAGATTTTAATTGCTTTTATTTGTTTGACTTACAGTATTCGGGTGGGATTGAGTAAATTTTCAAACGTTAGCAAATTCCAATTGTTCATGATTGCACAAGCAAGTATAGCTCAGGTCAGCTTTAAAAAATGTACTTGGCCGTTCGGCGATCAGTCAGTTGTGCCATTCAATTGTTTCGATTGTGAGGTTTAAAAATGTTTGCGCTGATCTGCGCGCTTCTTCTATCTTCTACAGTTCTTGCTACCGGTAAGAGTATACTTATATTCTTTACTTTTATTACTGTTAAACAATTTTTTATTTTTTAAAGATTAAAGTTTGTAATTAAGTTAACAATTTTTCAATTTTACCGGAACTGGTTTAATATATTTGGTCAATGTTCGGCACTTTAGACGAAAACTTCAACAGGATAGACTTGAAATGCGTAGGACGTGCTTTCCATAATGTGTCTCTTTCTGCATATTATCCTGTGTTCGGAACGAACGACAAACGCAACCATCTGGACGATCGAGGAAAAATGTTAAATACTCTTCAGGTTCGTGTAATTTGCGATAGACACATCGTGCCATTTAAAAGGCACTAAAGCTAAATTGTTTGTTCGCGCACTCTAAATCACACATGTGATACAAACTCGTTTTAGGATTATCTTGATGGCCGCACTCATTACGTCACTGTTGCCGGTAATTTGAGATCTGGTATTCCGTATGGAACAAAAATATGCATAGAAGAGCTTAACGAGCGTTTTGGAAAACAAATTTCTCTACAGGTGTGTAAAATTATTATGTTTGTTACATTTTAACAAAAATAGTAGACTATATATTTATTTTATTTAATTTTATCTTTTTATTTTTTTTATTTAATAAAACAAAAATAATTATTAATTTTTTTATTTATACATTTAAGAGTTTAAGAAAAATATAATTATTTATTCTATGCGTTTGTGTGTGTGTTGTGTTCCCCAGATAAGAGATCAAGTTGATTGTGGAAACGATGACGTTGCAAATTATTTCTCGAGATTGGAAATTTGTGTCAGGACCGAGGAGGATACTTATGATACTTATGTCAATGGCCTTGTTACTGTTTATGTATAACAATCACATAGAGTGAAAAATTATATATTTCTCTTATAATTATATACATCTCTGTTAACTTAATCAATAACAATGTTAAATTATTATTTTATAATAACAAGATAATTGTACTTTCTCTCTCTTTTTCTCTGCATAGAATTGTATTACATAATAATTTAAACAAGGATTGTTCAATTTTAGTTTTTCTAAATGTTTATTATATTAATTAGCAAAATAACATCATATAATATGAAATTATCGATTATATGTATGCGAAATGTAATGTTTATAGAATCAAAATTATATCATGCAATTGTAGTTAACAGTTATGTTCTCTGATCGCACTATTTTGTGTATTACGCAGGGTTGAGAAAATTATTATATATTATATATTTGATTATGTGTTATGTTATTTTATAAGCAATAAATTATAACTGTTTTAAATTTAAAAAATAAAAATATATTTAATATATATTAAATATATTAAATTAATATATACAATTAATAATTTGCAATAAATTAACACAATAATTAATATTATTCACTTGGAATAAATATTATGGGCTTCAGATTTTTCAGTTAAAAGATTCATAAAATATTAGACAGTTGTAACTTTCCAAAAATGGTTAATTTTTAAACAAAACAACTATTAAAACATAACTATTAAATTAGTTAAATTACCAAAAATGTAACTAAGTTAAGTTACAGTTACAGATACAGTTACAGTTATAGATACAGAAAAAGGAACGAAGTTCAGTTATAGTTATACCAAAAAAATATAACTGTAACTTCGTTACAAATAACAATGAGTTACTTCTAAATCTAACCCTGATATCGTCATATTAAAAATAATCCTTCATTTGGCAGCTTCCATCCAATGAGGCCACGATTGTATCATCGTGTAAAGACTGTCTCCGGGACAGGCGGTTGGCCAGGTTTGTCGATGTCCAAGAAGCTTGTAGTCACTCTTTATTTCGCCATTATCCACTCCACGAGCGATCAGTCTAGTTACTGCTTGTATTGCAGCCGCCTTTGGTGTTCGGTCTAACGGATGAAGAAGCATATTAAAGATATACCCTAAAATACCAAATTCTATCTGAAGATATTAAAAAGTATTTCATCATTAATATCTTACTGCTGTAGTCTCCAATAATACTAATCCCAATGCTCTTGCTGTTGAAAGGTATGGAATGGGCACCCTTTTTGCCCCAACCACGGCCTTCGTAAACGTTCCCGTCCTCACCGACTATAAAATTGTAGCCAATGTCGGACCATCTTTTATTGTCCATATGCTCCTTCTTGATTCGACAAGATAAATCAGAGATTTATTATTTAATAAACGCGCAAAATAAAACAGCAAGATGAAATAGAGTTTATTCTATTAATAGAAGACGCATTTGGTCTGTATTTAAATGATTGCCTGATTATTTGTGTAAAGAATTTAAAGGTTAAAAGATTTATTATTTAGAAAAGATCCGGATCTTGTGAAATTTATCACCTGGATTCCTTTGACTTTCAACTGACATTCAGCTTGGGTCTCGCAACCAGGACCAGTTGTATGATGAATGATTACGTTTGACACTGGTTTGATCTTGAGATTGGCAGTTGGTGATTTCGGTGCTCTAGCGTTCCATTCTGCTCTAGAAATAATGTTTAGACCACCTGAAAAAAAGTAATTATAAAAATTATTACATTAAAATTATTACATTAAAATTATTACTAATGAAAATTGAAGACTATTTTATAGTACGCAAAAATAATCGATTATAACGTTTAGATTTGATTAAATTAATTAAGTTAATTTGAAAGCTGTATAATTACAATAATTTTTTAATTAAATTAATTTTATAATAGCTAGTAATCTTAATATTCTTCTTTAATATAAATTCTTAAACACAATAATACATTTTACCCTCTGTATTTAATTTGATTTTTTTAGTAGATAAAAATAAAGATTTGTGAGCATTTTATATGCTTTTACACGACCTTTTTATGTTTTACTTGACCAGAATACTTTATATTCAATTATTTGTTAGAGTTAACATTAATAATTACAAGAATATAAGATTTATATGTAATTATGAAATAATTAATTCTTTTTATCTACTCATAAAAAATATGAATATAAGAAAATAATTACAAAGACATAGAAAAATAGTAACAATATCTTTTACAAATTATTTTTATTTGTAATTATCACATCGTAATTTAAAGGGAAATTTACGAAGTACAAATATAATCATTTTACTGACGTAAACAGCAATTATCTCGCAGTCATTCTTCTAATCGCGCAAGATGCTGACACTTATAATAATTTATCATGCGGATTAACGCATATATTTCTATTCTACTTCATACAAATACGACATTTAATTACGACACTCATTACAGCTATTGCATTAATCAATCAGTCAACAACAATTAGCGTTAAGCCCATCAACCACAAAGAATGATGATGGTCAATTAATTAAAAGAATGTCAAGCTTAAATGGAAAAAATTCATTTATAAATAACTGCACAACGATATTGCGGTAACCTTGTGCACACTTTAGTGAAGTATATTTCAATGTTCAAGAAATTACACTTGGATTATTATTATGCAAACATATTATAAATATACTATTTTATACATTAAATGTCATTAAAACTGAGAATAAAAATTCTATCATTTTTATGCAAAATATTTTCTTGCAGCAACTTTTTTTTTAAATGTGAAAGATCTCTCTAATATAATTTAGGGTGCCATTAATATAAGACAAAATTGCACGACTCGTATAAATAATATATATTGAATAAGAATTACTGGCGACAATTGTTGTCAAAATCAACGTCGTCGTCGTCGTCGTCACGATGTACATTTCGACTTGCAAATCGATGAACTGATGCTAGACGTGACAGTTTTCACACAATATATATGTAAGTCCCCTAAAGATGTGTTATGCTCGGAGCATGATCTCTGACCGTGTATAACCGATAAGCAAATGCATACATATGTACAATGTATACATACAGGTACATTAGTATATATTTTTCCAACCGGACTTCCCCTGTGAATTTCTAGCTAATCTGATGATTTATTTTACGAGTTACGAAAGAAGTAGACGTTAATGAGAATTCCAATATCGATAATGTTGTTCAATTTATATCTGACAATGTGAGAGAAGGGAAGAAGAAACGTATTATTTTATTTATCTTTTTTATTATTACATTTATAATAATTCTGGTTTTATTAACAATAATTTGGGACAATTGATAATGAAAGACTTTATTATATATATATATATATATATATATATATATATATATATATATAGTATGTGTAAAAATACGATAAAATTATTTTTAAATTTACTATTATAAATGGAAATAACACAATATATGTTTCACAAAATATGTACATATTTATTTCATTGTTCACATACAAATATTGATGTATATAAATATAAAATGTCTAACAATAAGCATACAAGCGTAATGCAAAATAATACTAATGGTTACTTAAATTATGTTTTATAATTATATCAAAACATTAATTTTATTATCTCAAATATTATAAACTATTTGCGTACAAATGTGAAAATAATAAATATAGAAATAATATATTTCGCTAAATTATTTGTATGTGCTTAAAAGGAACAGACATTTCTAGGAAATAATAACAAATCAGTCGCATTGATACTGATTTAACGTATGCAGAATCAATATCGACAAACTTGTAACACGACACTTCGATTTGTTCGTGTTTTGATCGAAGTGTCGATTAACATAAATGGCGAAACGCGCTTAAAAATATGCGCCTATCGACACGTCTTATCTCTTCTGATCTTCTCTGAACTTTGTCCGAAAAATATTGTATGATAATGAAGCTGCGATTATATTATGTTATGCGCGATATCGATTATCTCATTGATAGAAGAACAGCGGCATCCTTAAAAGTTAATCATCTTTATGATTGATTGATAAATTATAATGTCTTATTTTTTAGATATAAAAATCTCTTGTTCAAGAACATTTAAATAATTCATTTTTTCCTATAAGTAAAGAATAATTGAAAGAGATCACAAGCAATGACAATTTTTTTAAACCTACATACATGCGTATATGTAATTTTGAAAAAAAAACTAATTTTGATAATTTTGTCATTGTATAGATCGAGACATTATTTTTTTAAGATATAGATATCCATCCTGCTACTTCCGCGAAATATATAGATTCAATTGTTCTATTTAATGTCTATAAAATTTCCATATCGTTTATATTACAGCGCATATGCATGAAAGATTTTATCGGGAAGATTTCAATCTGTACGAAATTAGTTTCCTTACAGGTAATCATGTGTATTAATTTAATATTTAAATTACCATCGTCGTTAATTAAATTTCCGAAGGCCGTGACTTTAGGGAATAATTATTGCAACGAGTATTATATAAAAGTACAGCTCGCACGCGAACCGAAAGGAGAAAAGCATTGATCTTATTCATTAAATTTAAACGAGAAAAAATTAATAATCATTAATTTAATTTAATAAAAATTGAAAGCTTAATAATAGTTTAACGATTTGCCTGAAACTATACGTCTGAGAAAGTATCGCATTTTTTTACATTTTTATAAAAAAAAGAAATATATGGAAAATTGACGTAAAAAAAGGTAAGATTTTTTATCCTCTTTTAACGAGACTAATCTAATATGTAGTATTTATATTTATATTCGCTTGTTACGTCAATTTTTCATTTTATATATCGGCTTAGGAATCAGTATTATTTCGACCTATTTGACATTGATTCAGAAAATGTCATCATAAAGTGGCATTCGATGTGCTGTTTCCCTCTACGCTGTCTTTTGGCAAAGTCGCATCCGTCGAGGTGATGGGTGAACGAATGGGTATCGGATTCGCGGTCCAGCGAGGAAGAGTAGTCACGTATTCGTAAAAAGTCTCGCCAGGGCATTCCGTGTTCCGCGCCTGTCGATGACCGAGCACGTGGTACTTGTCGCTTATCTTGCCAAGTGAAATCCCGCAGGCTATCAGCGCGTTCAACGTCTTCAGGGCGGCCACGTTCGGAAGAAAGTCTGCGCAATCGTATATTCACGTGCGTCAAAATGCATATTTATTGACGCAAATTTGTTAATTTTTTTTCTTTACGAAATAATATTTCGAGGAATATGTTCTCCACACATTAGTTTACGAGACAAATTTTTCTGTGTTTTCAATAAAATAATGTAGGAAGAACATATTCCTTGAAATATTTAAAAAAATTAATTTAAAAATGAATAATTAATAATAATAAAAATTAATAATTTTAAAATAAATAAAGTAAAACTAATTTGCAAAATAATGTACCTCTATATAATTTATCTTTGATCTAATATGATTTTTTTAATTTACTGTTTTTAACAAGAGAAAAAAAGAAAAATTTGATAGTTAATAGTTTATAAAATAGTATATAAATAATAATTGTAATAGAGAGTTTATAATTTTCAACTTATTTTCTAAAAAACTAATTTACAAACACTAATTTACAAAAAAAAATTTTCATTTTTAATTAGACAAGGTGTTTCTTATAGATTTTTGGATGCTGAAAACGATGTCACAAACTAATTTTCACATCAGATTTTCGAAATAATTGAGATTTAAATATGTAAAAAATGGCTTTTTTGTGATATTTGATATTTTTTGTGAAAATGGTTAATGTTATCTGGAAATTCTGATTGGATGTCATGAATGTATTCATCCCCATAAAATGCATTTTTTAATATCAATATCTTATTTTTTAATTGTTAGAAAATATTTAAATACATTTTGTTGACAAATATTCTGTCTATGATAAAGTCATATAATTATACTCATAATTTGTGATTTAGGACTATTGATACTCATACACAGTGTAAAATAATGATAAAATCAATTTTGGAAAAAAGTAATAAAATATCGAAATAAAAAAATGCATTTAATAGGGGAATCTGAAATCTGAAATCTTGTGCTAGTGAAATTTAGTTTCAGCATTGCACCGAAAAATATATTTAAGAAATATATTTTATCTGGTTTAAAATGAATTTTAGCTGTAAACTAGTGTAAACATTAATTTTGTTCAGGATAAAAATTTTTTTTTCAATATTTGCTCGATGATATTGCAATCTCAGTGATATTATAGCAAAATATATTAAATACCGCTGAAGTCTCCTAGAATGCATATGCCAATGCTTTGGGTGTTGTAACCAGGTGCATGCGCGCCAACATAATTCCAACCCCGACCTTCGTAAGCGTTGCCGTCTTCGCCGATGAGGAAATTATAGCCGATGTCCCACCAGCCTCGATCGTCCATGTGGAAGTTCTGGTAGGATCTAACGATCGCGGAGCACGACTCCTGGTCCTGACAGTACTTACGTATACCGCCATGATGGACCACCACATACGGAGTTGGCGTCACCGAAAGTATCTGAAAATCGAGGCGCTTCCTGGCCCTCCATTCGCTTCGACTGACGATCCTCGGACACTCTAAATAGCCAAAAATCATCTGTTATTTTCAGTGTTTTCTGTTTCGAAATAAAATTATACAGATGATCATCTAGATGAAACTTTGGCGTCATCTTATCTTTATATAGATAAATTATTATATATAGATAAATTATTTTATGTAGAAAAAAAGAATAAAATATGTATTATCTATATCTGCATCTTAGATAAAAGAAAGTATTATCTTTACTAAATTATCTAGAATAATGTTCAGATAATTTGATTTAGAATCATAGCACATAGAAATACTTAAGTGGTAGAACTTAAATATAGAAAGCAGTAAAAATTTATAAATAAAAATATGAATATATTTTTATATCCTTTTTATAATTTACATTTTTTTGCTTTATTTACGTAAGCAATTTTAAAAATAATATTATCTGGAAATTATCTAGATGACAAAATTACCATATAATTTTATCTTTTATTTAGATATATTTAAAACAAAATCATTATTTTATCTATAATAATATATGAATTTATATATTTTTATCTTATCTTTATCTAGCTAATATTAAAATCATCTAAGCACAATATTGGTCTCAATATTATATTTTCTAATTTTATTCTTCAAAAATTAAACATGTCTAGAAGAGCTATTGAACGATTACATGTAAATTGATACGTGATTTATGAAACATTTATTAATAAATAATTAATAAAAAAAATTTTTACGCAGATTTTCAAAGGAATGCCTTTACAGAATAAAATGCATTGCAGCAACCTCAATATTTCATTCAAAAATGAGTCAGCTAATAAGTTAGTAAACACGTTTTCAACAATTAGTTGCGCAATTGCAAATGTATGTCCATCAGTCATAAAATAACTTTCGGTCTAAGAACTTTGCATTCCTGCAAGTGTGGAAACTTTTACAGGAAGGATACGAACATAAGTAATTATCGAACTGTGCTTGTCACGAGAAGCGCGCATAATTGCTCGCTATTATACTTCGTATGTTCTACGTCGAAAAAAAATGTATTACTTTTTCTCGATAGAAGAAATGTCCAAGAAATTTATCGACATGACGCAGATAGTTTAAAATAGAATGCTTACGAAAATATGAATAATATATAAACAATTAATAATACATGAAAATATAAATAATATATACATAATTAATAACAATAATTAATGATTAATAATATATAAATATATAAATAATTTATAGTAAAAAACATGTTTCTTATTATTTGTGCGTGAAAATATATACGATAGGAATTGTAAATGGATTTTGAATTTTCAAGTATATTAGTCTATTAATTTTTTTATGTACATATTAATTTTTTTTTACGGAAGCATAACGAATTACAAATTTTATATTACATCACGGTAGCATGTTTTTTTTAAATCACTGATTCGTGTTACTTTCATTTAAAACGCTGTGATAAAATATTAAAAAATTGGATATACTAGTCACTGATATGATAGGATAGAATAATTGGAAACGAAGGTAAAATTTGCGGAGCTGTGACGTCACGTATTTACAATACGTCTCGTACGCGGAAAATTCACTATAGCAACTAATTGTTTTGATTTGCATGCATAAGAGATGCATAAGTTAAAGTGCATGCTAATGGAAATTCCAAAGATCGTAAATTTCTTTGAACTCGCCGACGATAGAATAAGAATTTGGCACGGATGTTTACCGATGTATATGCTATTTTATGCTATTATTATATACATTATTACCTATAAATACATATTAAACGTTGTTAAGCATTATATGCATTTAACACTGTTATTACCGATAACAGACCGAAATAAATGCAACACAATGAGGTGTTTGTTAAAATTTAGTTTTAAGTCAAAAACAATTAGAATCATTGATATTATTGAAAGGGCTGAGCAAATAAAAATGTCGTAAGTGTTAAGAATCACAAAATATTAAAAAAAGGTATTACGCTCGAAATAATTATTTATTTATTAAAAATAAAAATTAAACTTGCTCTTTAAATTCATTTAATTCGTGTGTATATCCTATATTTTTTCAGAAATAACAATTACATTTTCTTCACTATCAGTAATAGTGTTCGTGTAATTTTGTTCAACAAAAATTAGCTTAAAAAATCACATTTTTTAAATTTAAATTGTTCTACTTTCTTAATGACTTACCGGTCGCATTAACAAAATTCATGCTGTCAATAGGAACGGCGCGTACCGAGTGTTCGAGGACACTGATAATGACCAAGATGCACAGCACGAACAGTCCGACAAGGTGGAAGGACGACCTCATGATGGTTGACACCGTTTCAGCGCGTGCCAAAAGTGAAACTGAGCGGGCATCGTCTAATCGTGTCCGTATTTAAACGAAAAACCGAACGACAGCCGGGAAGTCCCTCGGAGAGAATCGCGCGTCGAATCAACCCGTTTTGCAGTCCCTTAACCCTGGTCCCCTCTTCTTCACGCGTCCGTCCGCAACAACAGCAGCGACGATGACTACGACGAGAAGATGAAAATTCTTGTCCGCATCGACTCTGATTATGATCGAAAGGACGCGGAATTGAACGCGCGATAAAATGCCGTGTGAGATTGATAAGATCGGCAAAATGAATCGTATAACATGATAATAAATTATATCTGACCGTGAAAAATAATTATGTTGAAAAAAGAGACGTAAGAAAGTTTATATAACGAGTTTATATATTAAAAAAGTGATATTTGATTAATCAAAAACATCTTTCTATGTTTTTTATATCTTAAAATGAAGAACATATAAATAAATAAAGTAAGAATAACAAATTTATTATCTTATTAAAAATAAAATTTAAAAAATTTAAATTTATTATCTTATTAAAAAAAAACGGAAAGATAATTTTTCACTTATCTTCTTTGTAATGAGACTATTCGCGTATTAAACGCATTATAATTTCATGTCATTTTTTTGCATGTCATAACGAGGAAAGAAAAATGACAGAGAATTCTTAATTCAATGCGATCGATTTTATTAATTATATATAATTATGTTTTTCTTATTAATTACGTACGTCATTTGTTACGTCGTTTTTCTATATAAATTTATGTTTACGTTGTGACACATTTGATTCACACAGCGTCAAGCTAGATCACGCATTTTCGATAAATAACTGTATCTAAGAATTACGTAGATGAATCAATGATGACGATGATTCCACATAAAATTTTACTTAGTAAACTGGCCTTTCCTTAATTTTTTTGTCACTTTGATCAGCGACTGAGAGTTTTGACAAGATAATTTTAATGTCAGAGAAAAATTTGTAAAGATAAATTATATGTTATATATTATTCTTACATAAATGTTATATGAATAATACTGATTAATTATTCTTCTTATGCAACATTCGCATTTGCTGTATGTGTAAATTGTATATGATTAAAACATAAAAAATAATACTGTATAATATAATAATATAATACAATAATATGTAACAAAAAAATATTATAATGACATATAATATAAAATATAATAAATTTCGAACTATAATTATATTCTTGGAAAATATGTAAGATAAAAATTTAATTTATATGAATTTTGTATTGTTCAATTAACTCTTATCACAGAAGACGCTTTAATAACGAAAAAAATAAAGTAGGTAAATATATTACATTTCCACTCGACATGATAGTCATTCCATTGAGCTACACAGCAAAATAAAATATGTAACATGTTGATCGATGTACAAAGTTCTCTTTCTCTGTTTGAAATAATGTAAGAGTTAATAAATAACGAGTGGCTAAATCATTACTCGCGTTTGTCAATGATTCCGAGATAAGGGCTTATTCAAAGTCGTCGAATGGTGACAGATAGTTTTTTAATTTGCTCATCATAATATGCTGTCATAATAATTGTCGACTAATTGTTTCCTGCGATCAGTCGTCATATGTCACGGTAGGCTGTTTCGTCCAAAAGAGCGATTCTGCTTCCTGCATCAAACCCACATCACAAAAATAAATCCGTTTAATGTTACTTACAACACCCGCATTTCGAGATTTACAGGTACATACGGTTTTGATGATAATTATCCCGAAAATAGGCAGGAGATAATTACCGCGATATACGATAATGATAGAAACAAAACGAAAAAAACGTAGAATAAAGAAATCATTGTTTCAAATAATTATGATAATAAAATCACCAGTTACTGACGCAGATGCAAAAGCGCTGTTATCATAACAATAAGAATTTAAGTAGCGGACGATTTTAAAGAACTGTGAATCGTATACAATTGTCATTAACTGATTACGAAACAATTATATTATGAAAAAACGATTGTTGTAATAATTATTCGAACGATAAAATATAATATCGATTAACGTAAACTTAATGTAGCTAAGCATTATACAAGTCGCAATATTAAAAGATTTAAAAGCTGTTTGATTGTAATTATATCGTAATTATAGTTTTTATTTTATATTGCATTATACTATATTTTTTATATTTGTATTATTTATATATTTTATTTTATATATATATATATATATATATATATATATTGTAATTATAATTTTTATTTTTGTGTAAAAATAATGAACAGAACTAATATATTATATATAGTTTTTAAATAGAATAGAGTAGAACACGCGTTTTTATACAATAATTTAATATAAAATTGAACAAAATTTAAAAATTTCTTGTTTCTTCTTGCAACGATAAAATTATTGTAAGAATAATCAATTATCAGAATTGATAAGATCAACAAAAAAGTACACGATTAGATTGGCAGAAAAAGTATCTGGTTAGTAATAGTTTATTTGGAAAGTTATCAGGAAAGTTATAAATGTCGGGTGATGATAAGCTATACTAGAGAATTTATGACAAATAGTGCATCATGATGTGGAAAAATAATGAAACGTTACTCGTTGTAATGATTTGACACAATAAAATTGGCCTTGAATGCATTTTATTGTTGTGCAAATATATTATTGTAATACATACAGAATAAATTTTAACTAATCAATATAAGATAGCGAGATAAATATAAATATATTTTATGAAAAACCAATAATTGAAAGGTGTTAAAATTCTGGCAATGAATTTATTTAGGATTGTTTTATATATAACTTCTTTAAAGATATTTTATTATTTTAGTTTTATATTTAATATATTAATTATAATGCTTGCTTTTATGTGCTGCAATAAAACGATATATTATTATTATAGCAAAATATGCTATTATTTCTTATGAAAAGAGAAAAAGCGAGAGTCTCGCTTTATATCATGTAATCTTTAAAATTTATATAATATTCCTCTTAGAATTATTTATAAATTATACATCTATCTACTAGATGTCGTGATCAAGCAATTCAAGTTCAGTAAGCTTAGGAAGTTTCTAACTTACCATCCGAGTAAATCAGCTGTTCTAAATATATCGAAGTCGCGCAAATGTGTTGGTATAATCTCATACTAAATAATACTTCAATTTTATCAAACGTGTGACTGTTTGGTTTCACATTTGGAATTTTGTGAAAAATGTTTAAATTTGAATTTACAAGAACTGCAACTGATGCTAATGAAGGTAGGATCAGTTATACTTTTGTAATCACTAGAGAGCTACATGTGTTTACCCGTAATTTGAGGTTAGACTGTTATTGATTTGTTTTCCCGCGAAAATTTGACTGATATATATATATATTTACATGAAGCATTTGTCCAAAAATTGTAAAAAAATTTAATTTAACATATAATAAGATGCAATTTAATTCGACCAAAAATTGTGAAAATTTAATTTATATCATTTTAGAGGATAATAATAAGAAAGAGGAATTAGAATGGATTCCTGCTTCTAAACTCGAAATAACGTCCGAACAAATCGGAGCGAAATATGAAACAGATTATTATACAGAAACAAAAATGTTTCCTGATTATACTATAAAGTTAATTCGTTCCGATAAAGTGGTGAAGGATTTGACTAAGTATAACTATCAGAATATTATTGAAGCTGAGACACAACATTCCGATCTGATTCCAGCAAAGTATGAAGGTGATTAAATTAACAATTATTTTTAAAAAATTGAAGAATTATAAATTCCTATGTGAAATTTTATTGATATGTACATTAAAAATTAATCACGCAATATAAGGCGGATTAAAAATCTGGGAATGCACATTTGATTTGGGCCAGTATATATTGGAACAACAAATCGCACTGAAAAATAAGCTCATCTTGGATTTAGGATGTGGAGTTGGTTTGATCGGCCTTATCGCTCTTTTCAATAATTCTACAGTTCATTTTCAAGATTATGTTCGTATAATTTATGAGCGTTGCATTGAATAAAAAAGGAGCTATGATTGACAAAATAATTTTTGTAGAATGCAGAAGTGCTAAGGTTCGTAACTATTCCGAACGTGCTATTGAATTTTGACGATCGTGCGAATATATTTACAAAATGTGAATTTTATGCCGGAGATTGGGCTTCCTTCGCGACGTTATTCGACGGTGATGAAAGTAGGAAATACGATTATATCTTTACAAGCGAAACGATTTATAATCCAGATAATCATAAAAAGTTGTATGACATTTTTAAGAGAAGATTAAAAATTAATGGCGTTGGGTGAGTATATTATATAAAGAGATTTCTCATCATTTTTTTTATACAATTTCAAAACAGACAATTATCCTGTTAGATTTGTCGCTGGAAAAACCTATTATTTCGGCGTGGGTGGTGGAATGAGGCAGTTCGAGGATCTCATATTGAAGGATGAGTGCTTCGATGTAAAATCGGTGTGGATAAGTCAAGATGGTGATTATATGAACTTATAATTATAGATATATTTTTCAATTCAACAATCTATCAACTATATATACATATATATATATACATTTCAGGAGTGAACAGAGAAATCTTGAAACTCACGAGAAAAACGTGTCAAGAACATTACATGCTTAGTGTGTAACATTATTGTCTTTATGGAAGTATGAGGTATTGGCTCGGAATGTTGCAGTGATTAATAGCGCGATTCTTCTGAAGATTGGTTGATCATTTCATACATATAAAAACTGTTCATTCTCACGTTTCTCACATTTTTTAATAAACACAGTGAATTTTTCTTTTATGGTGAAAGTCTTTCGTAAACCCATCCATTTTCTCCTTTATGCACGAGTATATTGTCTATTTTTTCATTTGCTTTTGGATATCTGAAGCGAATCCTGTCGTGTAGACGATCGCTCTGACCTTGCCAGAATTCTACAGAATGCGGTACGACAAGATAGCCGCCCCTGAAATGAGTTATCTAATCTGATGGAATGATAAAAACTAATAAGCAATTGAATAAACAATTAACAAAGATAATTTAAATTTGGAAAGCACGGGACACAAATTTTATGTTATTATCAATTCATGGTAGATCTGTCAACAATAATAAATCGTACATGATTTTGAAACTATCTATTTTTCAGAGCAAGGAAGATAAACTTTAAAAGTAGCTTAAAGTTGAAACTTTAAGCTTTAAAATATTAAAAAAATTTTTATCTAAGTATAATTGTTTCAAGTATCGACATCATTTCTAAAAAATACAGATTTAGTTTCAAAATCTGCATTAACTCGATCAAGAGAAAAAATCATACGAACATTTTTTAAATATAAAAAAATTAAAAAATAAGCATTTTGTAGACAAATGTTTATAGAACTTGAGTTGAATTTTTTTATCAAACTGCAGAGTGTCAAAAATACGTAATTTTGAAGAACAAATTTTTAAAACTACCTATAGCGTTAAAATTGAAAATTCAAGCTTTTTTAATTTCTTGTCTACGATAATTTTTCACGGTTTGAAAATAGCCTAATTTGTAGGGTGTGAAAAGTATTCTCTATTTTTTAGTAGCTTATATTAATTACAATTTTTAATATGATGTTACTTACCAGCAATCAGGCCTTTTAATTTGACCTTCTGGAAATTTTGCGAGCAGCTCTCTTTCTTTTACAATGAGAGTCTGTCTGCTAGCTATTACGCTGCTTTGTTTGCTGGCCGATGATCCGATTTGATTTGCATATGGTCTGCTCTGAAAATAACGATCCGAATCTTCTATTGACGTTTTCTTCGCAATACCTTCGATACGTATCTAAAATAATTGAAATAAAATATCAGAATATTCAGAATAATAACGAAACAATTAATTAAAGAGAAATAATTAGTTAAAGAGTTCTGTCACAGAAGAAATAATTCTATTTATAAAATTGAATATCATACACTTCGTCTAAGAGGTTCCCAATAGAAGGTCAGCGCGACATGCGGATTTTCGGCCTGAAAATCAACCAAATAATGCAATTTTTGTTTATTTCAATATTTATGTCATGTAAACATTAATTGTCTAAACTTACTAGTTCACGGCCCTTTCTGCTGTCGTAATTCGTATAAAATTTGAAGCCTTCCGTGCCAAAGCCTTTTAACAGCACTGCGCGTAGAGATGGTACACCGTCCCTGAAACGATTGCCAATCGTGTCATGTTCGTATTTTCAAACATAATTGTATTACTGAATGTTATTTGCGTAATTTTTCCAGTCCATTAACATGTGGATTGGCTCTTTTTTCTCTTAAACGGATGGTACTTTACTTAATACTTGACGAACTGTTAAATATTATCGATTGTATCTCTATAGACAAACTTTGTTTTGCTCATATATATGTTTACATATTTTTTTATACATTCTCTGATGAATTTTTATATATTTTATTACTCAATATTGTGTATATTTTCTATATTTAAAAATAATATATCAAAATATTACCTTGTCGCTGTTGCGAGAAGCATCGCATTAGGCTCCAAAATTTGCGGAGTATTGCACGCCTCCTCGAACCATGCTTTGAATTGCTCAATAGGTTCTTTACTAATTAAATTATCCTCTGTGAAAGTTTCGCTTTTATCTTTATATTTTAACCGCATATCTGTGAAAAAAAGCCAAATTTTGACATTACACAATCAATAAATAATTTTAGAGCAACGGAAGAAAAATATTCAAAAATTTCAGAGAAAAAATCTTTGAAATGTTTTGTTAATTTTTTTAAATTTTGATGATATATATACAGGGTGTCCCATAATTCGCGAATCACCTTTCATGGGCAGATAGAGCGTGTTAAATTGAATAGAAAAGTCCTGTATCATTTTGCAATAATTATTGAGTTATTAACAAAAATATCTAAACGAATGAGCGGGTAGAAAGCGGTAGGCCGGACTCGGTGTGCATGTCGGATGACTTATTTGTTATATGCCGCTTAGTATCAAAAGTATCATCTTACTTTTTGGCGCCACTACATTGGTCGCCGCTCGTTGCATGACGCAGCTTCTCGATCTGCTTTCTACCTGCTTATTCGTTTAGATATTTTAATAAATAACTCAATAATTATTGCGAATATCGCAAAATGATACATGAATTTTCTATTCAGTTTAACACACTCTATCTGCCCATGAAAGGTGATTCGCGAATTATGGGACACCCTGTATATATAAGTTTTGTATTAATTAATTCACGTATCATTAATTATTTTATATTTCACAATAACATAATTGATAAAAAAATGTGATTCTATGCCATAATATATCCTAATATATAATAGTAAAAATTAATAAGAAACTGTAAATGATGTAAACATTTATGCAAAATTGCATACGTGGTTATAAAAATTTGTAATTAAATATTTTGTATATATATATATATATAATTATAATAATATTTGGAATTAATAAAAAAATTATATCGTCTATTTGCCAAGATATAAAGAAGCACAATACAATCTGATGAAAATTACGATAATTATTGATTCCTACCTCCTATGTCTACGGTACATTTCTCATTTCGGAGCGACATGTCACTATGTACACGCTTGTACGTCTGGCTGCGAAATAGCTGATCGACTTTCACCAACGGAACGCAACTGACTCACTACTGACACACAGGATTGATAATGCGCATGTGCTGTGCCAGTCGAAGCACAAGATGGAAAAAAAGAATAGTAAATAGTAATGCAGGCGATATCACGTTATCTTGATATAGTATGCATATATGTATGTAATACAAGATAAACGTAGTATATATGTATAATAAATTATCTTTTTCGATAATGAAAGGAATTGCATATAGATTTTGCAGTTACAAATTAAGCTATTTGGAACATTGTAGACAAATTGATATTCATATTTTTTAGAGATACTGTCAAAAATTCGAAATCAAGAAAAATTTTTTAAATATATTCCGGAAAAATTTTTATAAGTATAAAAATTTAATTTTTGAGATTTCAGGAGCTGTTACAATTTTCGGGGTTCCAAAATAGCTAGCTAATAATGCGTCACTGAGATTAGTTTTCGTACTCTCTCAATAGATGGTGCTCATGAAATGGCATTGACATATATTTTGAAATATATATAGGGTATATCACTTATGTAATCACATACGTCAATAATATTTGTAATTAGATAGTGGTACATTGATATTGATCTTAGTATTTTTGAAAATAGTTTACTGAATAATAATACTATAATAACTTTTTTATTATATAAATCTTTTTTACAATTAATTCTCAACTATTAATATAATATATAAAGTTATAAATTGAATTGAAAAATTGATAAATTGTAAATAAATTGCGATATGATCTATTAAGATACTGTGAGTTCATGATTTGAAAATCTATTGTAGATCGATTATAATACTGATCACTATATTATGTAACTTTTTTAAAACGTCAGTCATATTTTTATCTGTAAAAATCAAACGCAATTGCATGTATTGCAAAGTCTTATTGGTTTAAAATTGATTCACGTCAAATACAGTGATACTAATATTTATACCGTTATTAAAAGTTGATTATATTGTATATATGTATAAACTAGGATTCTTATATCTATGTATTTACAAAATTAACAATCGTAATTTATTACAAGATTATAAAATATAAATAGAAATTACAATATATCTTCTTCGAAGAGGAAACACACATTCTTCTGAAAAATCTCTTACGATTAATTTCGCACGATCTTCAAATTTTGAATAACATAGTAACAACGTTAATAATTTAAATATATCGTTTTTTTGACGATGGAACCATAAAATATTCGAGATCACCGTGAATATCTAGGCCCCATTCGCTGGCAGTGAATTATTTGGCGTGATCACAGGTACTTGGATCATTCCGTCATCGCTTTTCGCGTTTTTAAATTGCGCGCCATAATTTGCATTCGTCGCCGCAGATGGCGCGATGGTGTTTATTGGTTTGGAAACTCTTTCGATTTTTGCAGCGCGCTCGCGACTCGTTTGATTTACACGATTTTGCATTGTTTCGTTTGCTATGATCTGGGCATCGATTTTTTTCGAGAAGGGTGTGTGGTGATCGTTGACGATTGTACGCACTCGTAGCCGTCGACGGCGTATTCTGTTGGCAATCGTACTATTCCCGTTATTTATAGTATTGATCGTGCTGTTACTGGGCATTACGATCGTGGTCGGAATTGTCTCGTTCAAACGACGATTTTCGCTGTTATCAGCGGACGCGAGCGAATCCGTACAATTCGGCGGAGGTTCCCCGTGCAGATATGTGATTGGCCAATGCCTGCTGTAACCAGGATCGTGTCGATAATCTGGGCGATTATGATGATAATCGGGACGACTATGGTGATAATCGGGACGATCGTGGCGATCGTCGCCTTCGATCATTGGACGAATCGGTCGCGGACTTGGGAGATAGGGGTAATATTTCTCGCTGCAAGGCCGCCATTGGTCTTCTGACGATCCCACATAACACCTGTAGAGTTGATTTTTTTAAATATAAACATCATTTTTTCTTATTAAGAATATTTTATCGGCTCTCGAAATAAATACATAATAATTTTTTTTGTTTAAACAGAAACACGTAGACATAGGAGGAAGTTATACCGTGAACATGAAATATGCCGAAATTGATGAGTTTTTTTATATTATATGTATTACAGATTTTTTTTAATGTAAAGACGATTAATAGTATGACTTGCGCACTTTAAAAATTGCGTACTAAGAAAATGTTAAATTTTTAAATAATTTTCTTTTATCTCTAATTGTAAGATATGCAAGGAGTAGACAAAATAATGTGAATACTTGTGAAGAATATATTATATCTTCTATCTGACAATTGCTTTAGAGATGTTGAAATCTGATGAGGAAATGTGCTTCTCACTCTCTTTTTTAAAATTACCTACAGTCCAATGGTATTAAGCTGTTTAAACATTTTCCCTGTGTGGCTAGCATAATTACTCAATTTAAATATCATCAATATGGGCAGTTTCGGAGAAGAGAGTAAATAACAGATTTCCTCTTCAAACATTTCTAAAGCAATTGGCAGATGTTTTGATAGAAGAATGGGACAGCATTCCACTGGAGACTATGCCAAAATATGTATGATTCTATTTGAAGAAGAATTCAAGCTGTATTAAATGGTGGCAAAAGGGAGTTCAATATGTTTTAAATAAACAAATATATTGTATTTTTCACAGATGTTCACATTATTTTGTCTACCCCTTGTAAATATTGTGAATGCGAGAATTTATTTTTATTGTCAGAGAGATGTAGAAGAAAAAAAAGTTAAAATATAATGCTACAAAGAGAGCATTATATTCTGCAAGATATTTAATACATACCATAGATATTGATATCCTTGCGAGTAGCCACAACGATGCGTTGGTGCACAACAATAATCCCAGCTACCATATTCGTCTCCTTCGGGCTCACAGCTCCAGAATCCGGCAATTTTGTTTTTCTCGCATTTTGTACCCTTCTTACATGGGTAACCGTTTACCGTGTAATAGCGGAAAGTCGAAAATTCATCCGCTTCGAAAATTCGAAAAAAATGATTAAATAAAATCATAAAACTTTGTGAATAGTAATATTTTAGTTGTAAGATATACTTACGATAAAGAGGTCCACCAGGACGAATACCGTATCCAAACTTGTCACCATAACTACTACTAGGACGAAGCGGTCTGATAGGATCAGGTTTATCAGGATCGAATGGTATTACGGCGTGATGATGACCGCCTGGTTTTAATAAAGGTCTAGCGTCTGGATACATAGCAGGATACACATCGGGCCTCATGTTTGGATAACCAGATCCTGGACTAATATTGGGTCGCGAAGGGCTCAAAGGTCTTAACGGGCTTTGTCCACCAAACACATGATCGTCATCGGCAGAAGAGCCAGTGATCACGCAATAAGGATCGAGATCTTTCCATGTGAAAAGGACGTGATTTTTGTCATAGATGTAATCTAGACCCGGTCGCAAGTCTCTTATAGGTACGTCACTAAGTAAACAATTCTCTTCTGTGCCATGCGTAGTGAGCCTGGAAATCGAAGGAATTAATAAAAAGTAAAATAAACTGGCATAATTCTTTATAACAAAAAGATATTCTTTTATTATTGATTTTATTTAATTGAAGTTCAATTGTGTGAAGTTTAATTTAATTTTAGTTTGATTATAAATGTTTTTTTTTTAACTAGGTATATACAGGGTGTTCGGGAACTCCGGTGCCAACCGTTGAGGGGTTGTAGGGTAGGTGAAAATATTCAACTTTTATTAATAAACATGTAGTCTCCGACGACGCCTGTCAACGATGCACGATCTGACTGCGAGGATCTTCAATGCTTGTGAGGTCGTCCAGCATACACCAGGCATTTTCGAACGAGTTCGGCAAAGTATGGTGCGGCGGTGTAATGCCTGCATTGAATTAGGAGGTCGCCATTTCGAGCAACTTTTGTGATTGCATTTTTTGTGAAGGAAAAATAATAAAGTTACTGGCGTCGACAGGCGTCGTCGGAGACCACATGTTTATTAATGAAAGTTGCATATTTTCACCTACCCTACAACCCCTCAACGGTTGGCACCGGAGTTCCCGAACACCCTGTATATTTGCACAATTCACAACTAAACTTTTACAACTAAAAGCTTATGTGATATAACTTACTTGTAACTATAAGACATGCAAGGAATAGAATCAGTTTCTCTCATCCTCGAACATTTCTGTCGACAATCTTGTTCCGAGTTTACGTACGTTGCCAGAAGTATGGCGTAAGGTGTCAATTTGCATGGCTTGTTATATCCGGAATAACATACTATGAAGGATTTATTTATGAAAATTTTAGATACAGTTTTATATTTAATTATAATATTAACATATTTTGTGTGTAAAATATCAATATGTAGATTAATATTTCTTGCATATATGCATGTGTATACCTTCATCTGCGCCTTGCGGAGATTGCTTGCTATTGAATTGTTCTGTATTGAAAAATGGTACGGCGTATGGTTCGCATCCTCTGCCAAAACTGCCTTTTTCATACAATTCCGCACCATCCATATCCGGCATATGGGCAGGATTGATGTCCTGCGATGGCCAATCACTTAGATAACAATTAGTTGAAACATCGGATCGATCTTGTTCTAATCCGTATCTGAAAATTATTTCACATATAATTGTAGAGGATGGCGCATTTTAATACACATAAATTTGATGTACAAATAAATAAAAATATATAAACAAAAATAAATAAATAATAATAAAAACTAAATAATAATAATAATAATAATAATAATAATAATAATAATAATAATAATAATAATAATAATAATAATAATAGTAATAATAATAATAATAACAACGATAAAATTAATAAAGTTGCCAGTGATGAGTAAACCCATACAAATTTATTGAAATTTCGACCTAACTGGCTAGTACAATTTATTAGAAACACTACGTTTCGACCCTTAGGTACGGATTCTTTTTAAGTGTAACTGCACAATAAAAATATACAATGATTAAGATACGAAACAATAATTTACAAAGTTGTTGTGATTTTAAGTGGATGGAACCTAGGATTTTGCATTGCGAAAAACATAGAAGGAAGAGAGAATTAGCGGAGATGTTTTTTATTAAAAAATTAAGAATAACATTAATTTGCAAAAGGACACAGATAATTTAAATCCGATTTATGATAAGTTGATCCACAATGTGTGATTGTATTTATTTATTTCGTTGTATTGTCGAACTTTGATATTATTATGTTTTTAACGTTTGACTTAAATTGATTTACTTGTCTCCAGTTTAACATTAGTGATTTTACTGCTGTTGAATCAACATCTTGAAAGGTACATTACATTATTTTTATATTATTTTAAATTTCTTTGTTAACAACTTTGTAAATTATTGTTTCGTATTTTAATCATTGTATATTTTTATTGTGCAGTTACACTTGAAAAGGACCCGTACCTAAGGGTCGAAACGTAGTGTTTCTAATAAATTGTACTGGTCAGTTAGGTCAAAATTTCAATAAATAATAATAATAAATACAAATCAAAAAAGTAAGTCTAGAAATAAATGATTACAATTAAATTATTAAAAAAAAATAAATAATAAAAATAAATAAGTTATACAATTGTTTTTTGCTTTATCGCTATCGACTTTTTGCATGCAAAATTAATACTTGAATTAATACATAAACCTTACTTGAACGCGAAGCTTCTGCATGTGAAATCTTGCGCTACCGTGCATGACGCTTGACATTCCCCTAGATTGTTGACTGCTATCGATTTCCTAATGACATCCGTCGGCATTCCGAATCCGCTTCTGACTCTCCAAAAACATTCTAGAAAAGTTTCATTCAAAAAACAAACTTCTCGTGACTGCCACGAATCCTATTGAATAAAACACGCGAGAGAGGCAAACGACTTATAGTTGCCTGTCGATTTTAGTTGTTACCAGAAACACAAAGCGGAACGCATAACGTATGGTAATGCAATCGGGGCAGTAGTGCAACGCTCGGCACAATAAATTGCATTATCTGCTGAAAGTCAGCTTTATTTATCCATCCAATCGAAATTTAAAAAAAGAAAAAATACATACATACATGTATTGCGAATTATTTTCATACAAAATTGCATTTTTAGATTAAAATTAATAGTGAAATTCTTTCTTAATTAAATCGTATATAGGTATACCATCCGGAGGATGTGGACTCGGCTCTCTTTTTGTGCCGCAGGTTCTTGAATTGGTAATCATGGCGTAAATATCATAATCACGATCTGGTTCGAGATCGACGTAAAAATTCAGATCTTTATACGAAACGTCGCTAAGGAGACAATTGTCCGTAGGATCCGTAGGTGCTACATTGTATCTATGCACACAATTAATATTATGCAATTAATAAATATACATACTAAATCTTATTAATATTAAAATTATTTTCTACATATAACTAAAGATAAAAAAATATTAAAAAATGTAAAAAAAATATTCAAAAAATATTAAAAAATTATGTGTATCATCCTGTTATTATAAATTATTAAACTGTACCTATAACTGAAGGTCATACATATGTAACTCTTCTCGTTAATGCACAAACTCTCGCACTGATCTAAATTCGCCGTCAGATAAGTTTTTCGAACGACTCCTCTGCTAAGTTTGAATCCTGCGCCGGCTCGAACAGAGCACTCTTTGATTTTTCCAGTATCACCATAAAGCGGATCTTGATTGGCCGGTATGTAACTATCGCCGTATCCAAATGCACCGCCGTAATTGTAAAAATCGCCGTAAAAGTGATCGTTCTCATAAGGACGAGATGGCGGCGGTGGTGGCGGGAGTTTCGGATAATATTTCGGTACGTCAACCTTTCCCACATAATTTGTGTCGTAGCCGTAAGAACCACCGTAAACAGTGCCATAAGTATCCCAATCGCGACTCGGATCCTTTCGATGGTCCGGCAAGTACGGTCCAATTTCGTTTGTACCTAATACACGTTACGATATATACATATGTGAACATACACAAAATAAGTTTTTCTTTGCAGAGAGATGGTCTCTATATAGATTTATACTGAAAAAATTGTATTTTTATTTTTTAAATTTCCCACTTATTTTTTCCAGGTATTTTTATGTCAAAATGACTACTTTTGTTATCAGGGTTAGAATATCCTGTTCTAAAATAAAGTGCTAAAAAGATCCTCTTATCTTAAGATGGGAATCCTTTAAAGATTAGTTATTGACGGTTTGTATAAAAAATTGTTTGTTATTAACAAAGAATAAATTCTTAGTTTTTTTAGAGTTTAGAGGAGGTTTGAGATAAAAACATTAAGAATATTTGTTAAGATCTCTTACTCCGAGAATGCAATTTTTCCAGTGTACATTTAGACCCTCGAAATGTTACCTATGTCATGAGTGGATCCATGCTCGATTCGTCTATTCGGATATTTCGGATACCGTGGTAGATTTCTGTTATAAAAATCGTCGTCAACAGGTCGTCTAGGTGGATATCGACTGCCGTAACCGTATGAATCTTCCGATCTCGTTCCTGAATATCCAGTCTGATCTTGATTATTGGGATAACTTCTCCGATCGAACGTATCATCATAATGTCCGCGATAAGGATGCCCATAGCTCTTTGGCGGTGCCCATCGATTGTGATCTCCATAATCGAACGGTCGCGGAATTTCATTTGAAGGACGTCGATCGTAATCCAAGGGTCGCGGAATTTCTTTTAAGGGTCGTCGATCGTAATTCAGAGGTCGCGGCACTTCCTCGGGGGGACGTTGATCCGGGGCGTAGGGTCTTGCGTTAGATTTGTGGGTTAAAAGTTTTTGAGATTAATTTTATTTAGATGATGTATAAACAAAGGCATGTTAACGATTCTCACGAGTAATTATATAAAATATAGACGAACGCAAGTTACTGAATCAGCGGCCTTGCATGAGTTTATCAACGTCAAAATCAACAATTGTGTTTCATAAAAAAGCTGAAGCTACTTGTACCTTTCGACTTTGATGTAAATATAAGGTGGTTTTTAAATAGAACAATTATTTTTAATATAAGGTAGTTTTATTAATAGGTAAACATATTGTTTTTAATTGTTGCATACCTCGTATCTGGTTTTTCATTAGGAGGACCATAAGATTGACTAGGTCTAGGTTGATTCCAATAAGATGGTCGTGTTCCGGGCGCGTTTGCCACGCAATTCGGATCCCTCTCGTAATAATCACATTGAGGATCCGATACAAAGTCTCGATGGAGATCCATGCGAGAATAAGGCACCGATGTCATCTCGCACATTCCTCTCATCCCATGTGACATGCGTCTTTTTTCAGAAAAATGTTATTATTCAGCAATACACAAATTCATTCATTGGAATCGGTTTAACGATTTTTTTTGGATGTGTGTTAATTGAGTGCTGGAAAAAACAACTTTCCCGACGCGCGTGCGTGAGTTCCTCTCAACGGAGAAGCGTGTCACAGATTGTAGCGCAATCAAATTGTCCGTGATGCAATCGCACGATGGGTCATGAATATGTACGCATTGTAATTTTGCGTGTGCATTTAATGACAGGTATCTTATAAATATATACAGATACACATATATATGTTTGATTGTTTACGATTTTTAATAGATATCTCTTAGTAAATTGCTGGAGTAAAATAAGCAAAAATAAAATTTGTATAATATAAAAAATAAAAAAATATATAAATAATTAATATATAAAATAATTTCGCTAAAAAATGTGGATATCTAATTAAATGTCATAAATAATCAAAATTGATATGTATGTGTGTCTGTGTGTGTGTAAATAAAAATAATCTGTTAATAAAAACGGTTGAATAATTATTATTGTTATACAGATCATTTTTGTTTATTTTGTTCATTTCAAAAATTTAATAAAATATGTATATCTAAAAATCATACAGACAATCGAAATTTATTGGGTGTATTTATCATCAGAAAATAACCATGTTATTACGATGAATTAATTTCACAATGTAATAGATTTCTGTTTAATAACAAAAACCTATAATAAAATATCATAATTTTATACGAATTATGTAAATAAATTTTTTTTTCTCGTGAATTAATACTTAAGGGAAGACTAAAAAATTACTACAATTGAAATTATTATTGTAGAATTAAAATTACTATAATTAAAATTAATATAATTAAAATTACCTATAATTAAAACCCTCGCAAACGAAAAACTTCTCATAGTCACAAGCGCGATGACAACCCTCGATGTTGTCGCACTCGACGATGCGTCTGACGTGCAGGTCCAAGCTCTTCTTGCCGGACAGCAGTCTTCTGTAGCACGCTGTGCAGTAAAAAAACATTGAATGCACTTTTTGCGGATATAATTTTTTTCGCGAAACTTACGCGAGCACTCATCCTCCACTATAATGATTGAGTCCGAAGTGACTCGCCGGACAATTACGGCTAACACGAAAGTCCACAACCATTGTCGTATCAACATGATTCTCGATCGAGGCATCGCTTTATCGAAATGGATGAACCATTCGCGCACACCTCGTGGCGTCTCTTCAGTGTTTTGACTTTTTCTTCGAGTCGTGATTTACTCCAGCGATATACCATATCGAGCCGCGACGAGGCAGAGCCATTGTGTAATTCTTTTCGAAAAGATATTATACTTTCAAAATTTTATTTGTTACCTCGAAATTTTATACGCTCCGCTGGCACCTTCGCGCGAAAAAATAACGTAAACCGAAAAATCGCGCAAAATAAAGTAACGGAGAAATTACAGGCTCGCATCGTTTTATAGAAAAGTGAACGTTTCCGCGAGGATAGTGGGAGGAACTCACACGTCGAGAGGGAGGGACTTCAGCGCGTTACATGATCATTAATGATTCCACTTACTGTTATTTTTCTTTGCTTATAGACACGCGAGTAGCGTTCCATTCTTTTGCTGAACGCCATCATTTGGTACTTTATACATGGAATTGATTCACTCGACGTCGCTTGAATCGCTCGTAAGTAATTGCAGGATGTAAATCTTTAATTGAGACATGATTCTGCAAGTGTACTTGTGTGTGTGTAAGCCTTTATAACGATGCTAGTGATTCACTCTCTTCATTCGCATTATTATTCCTTGGGGATTATTTTATGATTGGTATTTAATCGATTTATAAACTAAAAGAGAACTGTCATACATACATATTTTATATTTCAAGTCGTATAATATAATTTTATTGACTTTTTTCCACTGATTTTGGCATCTCTATTTTTAAGCAAGATATACATAAGATTAATTATTATTTGTTCGCTGTAAGATTTCTCTGTTCGGAAACCAACTACCGGAACCATTTGCATTTTTCTGTCGTTAAAAAAACTTTTGTGCCAAGAAATAACAAAGAAAAGTGACATCATTTTAGAAGGGATACGTTGTCCTTCGAGATTCGCCAGGGTCACAATTACCTCAATTATTTCAGCCAGCCTAGCTCTTAATGTAACACTACAACTTCAGTAAAGTCGCGTCAGTATACTTCCGCGACTCAGTCGGCTAAATATAATTACTGCGACCGTTAAGTATATCGAACCACTATACGAGATTATTCGGAAAGTAATTGAAAAATAAAATTTAAATTAAATTAAGCCGTGTCGCAATCGGCTGTCCGATCGATTGCGACAATTCCTGATCAAAGCAGCGGATCAGGTCAGGTTACGCGCAATTAATTTGAAGCGCAGGAATAAAAGGGACTCTGTCGAAAGTAAAAGCACATCATATGCTCATAGATCACGCAAACCGGACGCCAGGCGTCCTGTAACGTCTGGACATTTATTTTTCTTTCTTGTGCAACTTGTCATTTCTGTTCCGCGCTGGCACAATCGCGAAAAGTCATTGAGTTTCTTACGGCTGGTCATTGTTCCCAATAAACTTTGCACAAGAACATTTTTCAGACATTAAACATATTTTTTTTAAATGTGTTTTTATAAAAAATTGAATTTTAATTATTTTCTTGTAAAATGTATCCTCCTCGCTGATAATTCACGAAGAAGATATTGCGGTTATTCGGTTACGTTGTAGTTAGAAAGATATGCGAAAGCTGCGCGATGAGAGTGATGGCTAACGCCGGAAGTCAACGGATGCAACGAGCTAATTCGCATACAGTTTAAAATCTGTGTCAATGCCGTTCGTATTTATCAATCGGCAGTTTGCAGATGAATGTGGTTCGATAACGAGTGACTATGGCGATCAAGCAATTCAGTTAATTGATGGCGCAGATTAACGAACTTAACAATAAATCCACATTGCCACTACGTGACAGATCTTTTTTTGAATTTTATTGTCTCTGGTTTCAATAAAAAATAAAATATCGCGATAATATATTACACAATTAAAAAAAACACTATTTTCTCTAACTTTGTTGATACTGTATATGAAATTGTTTTATCACGTAATTTGGAGAAATTCATAGTTGCGAAAGATTTTAATGTATTTTATCATATTATGTAACTGCGGTAACGTACGTGTTAAAGGAATTAAATTTTAATCAAAATTAAGTGTTATTAGACTTTTCAGTACTAAAAAAAGAATTTTTTATATTTACTATAATTATTAAAATAGTCCAAGGATCTGTTGCAAATTAGATCATAAAAAAAATTAAAAATGACGGAAATTTTAGAAATGTTAAAATAAAAAAAGTTTGGATTTTTATAAAATTTTATATATGCTTTATATATATATATATATATATATATATAGTTTGAATTCAATTTTAATATTTTAGATTTATGTCAGTGTCAAAAAATCTACGAAAGGGACTTAATCTTGTGTTCGAAAAAATGATTTCTTTTTAAATCTATATTATTGTAATTTATATATTTAGAATATTTTCAAAGTTATTCCATGAAAATCTTAAAGAGAGCAGACACGCAATAATTTAATTGCGACATATATATCGTGATATTTAACGACTGGAGGTGCAAAAATCTTAAATGCAGCAACTTTATATGCCGAGACATACACGCGGACAAAGAGAAAATTAATAAAATAACGAAACAACCTCGTTGTCGTACCTTTTAATGTCAATGTTTTACGTAAGAGGGTAATAATCAACTCGCGGGACACGGCTCTAGCACATTTAATGCAACCGTATGATTGCCACGTGGCAAAAAAATGAGGTTGCGCCTCACATATGCATCACACGCGAAGTAAGCGCAGCGACAACCGAAGATTTGTGTGCCTCCGCTCTTTCGTACACGCCTCGTTAAAGACGGAGATTCGCGTTTCCGTTTCTCGAGGTGCTACAACTGCACCTGAAGCTTATATACACATTACACGCGCAAATTAATTCGAGTTCGGCATTTGTAAAAGGAACGGAAGAGAGCTTATCTTGATGTGAGAAAAATAGATGATTAGCGGAAAGTTAAACTATTACTCACATTTATCAGTGATCCTTGACCCAAAATCGCGAAAAATCAACGGCGATCCTAGATTCTGGATATCGGAAGTGTCCTTGAATCTTCCGGTCGAACTTTTGACCCCGCCAGTCTCGAAATTGTAAGAATTAATCGGACGTGGTATTTGATTGGTTTCGTAACTTCCTAATTCATTTTGCTTCGGTCCTGCGATGATCCAATGATCTTTATGGAGATGATTGAAATATCCTTTTTCATTCTGATATCGGTGCTTTATAAATGTGTTTCGATCTTTCATCGGAACGTGATCGATCCAGAACTTGAAATCTGTCGGAGATTTGGTTTTTGACGCTTCGTCGTAGACGAAGATAGGTCTTGAGAAAACTTCGAAGAGCCCGTTGTGGACAGTGAGAGGTTTATATGGACGAAAATTGTTGTCCGAGTTCGATTCAAAAGTTAGGTGATTGATATCGTCGAATGGATTTCGAAAGGACGGTCGATTAAAATCCGAACGATATATCGAGACATCGTTATCGATCTCTGCGTTGCTGATTCCGAAAGAACTGCTAGCCATCGTATTTCTGTTTCTAAGGTTATCGGAGATCCGAAGCTCATCGTCGAAGGAACCCACGTGCTGGTGCGAAGGATCATTGGCGACGATATGCATCATGTTTCCCATGATTCTTCAGATGTGAAAGTCACGCAAAGTCATGTCGTAATAATTATGTAGCTTTATTTAAAATAAATAAAGATAAACAAAAATCTGAAGCTAAATTATAATGCTCGATCAAGCTATTTGAAACTTTTTTAAAAAAATATAGACATATTTTGATAATTTACATGCTACAAGAAGATTCATTAATAAAAACGTTACACTTAAAAATAAAGGTATATTTAGATATGCGTAGTGAACTTTTCTGTAGAATATAAGTATTTCCTTTAGTTCTGTCAGGAATATCTATCTAGACTATGTGATAAGAGCACAAACAATAGAAATGCTAATCTAATGTCTCAATTTGAAATAGATAATCCGATAATATAAACATGTATCATACCTTGGAAATGATAGGATACTTGGTATTGTCGGATCCGAAGGGCCTCTTCCGAATATGGTGGCTGATTTTGTCTCGTTTCCTCTTTCTCGTATGATGGTGTCACTTCTCATCTTGTAAAGTCGATCTGGTTCACAATGTAGCGAACGTTGACTTCTCACGTAGACGTCGTAATCGGCGTGAGTTTGCAATTCTTCGGGCTTTGGTATTTTTCTACTCAGGGCACATGTCCCGTTACCTTTGATACCGATCCTATACATCAATAGAAAATCATGTTCAGAGAGAGAGAGAGAGAGAGAGAGAGAGAGAGAGAGAGAGAGAGAGAGAGAGAGAGAGAGAGAGAGAGAGAGAGAGAGAGTTTGCATATTACAATATTATTTATATAATGTATTTAATTATTTTTACAATCTTCCTAATATTCTTCATAATTTAGATTAGTTTGACTTTTATATTGTGATTAAAGTTTTCTTTTTGCAATTATAGGGTTTATTGATCATGTACCCGAAAGCAAACGCGTTACAGGAATTCCTTCTTCTCGAACATTCGTCTTCGCATTCCGAAATGCTGCCAACCGTGACGCTGGAGAAGATGTCTATGTCCGGCAATTTAAATCCGATAGCCACTCTCGTATAGCAATCTGCATCATGTAATCATCACACGTATTTAATTATCGTAATTGGTGTAATGTGACTATCCAACCTATCCGATTGATCATTCATGTTGTCACTCACCATTCGCAATTATTACAAGCTGATTGTTAATTGTAAGACCGTTGGAGTGCAACACTTGAGAGGATCGCAGGAAACAAATGATGAAAACGAGAAATCCCCGCTGATGGTGTTCCATTGCTGCTGAAAGAGATTCTCTTCGTGGTCTAAGGATATTCACTTCATTTCACTTCACATGATGCCTATATTGTACAATTTCCTGCTTCCTGCAGTTTTGATCAAAATTATTCTCACTGTCTTCGTGTTACTGTGACATGATCACTTTTATTTACTCGTGATTGCTAATTATATAATATCGGTTTATTCTCCTCCCTTAATTGGTATACATGATTATTACTTTCTAATTGTCTGACATCTCATTTTTTTATTCGGATCTATAAATCATGATCAGTGTTTGCTGTTATTTAAATAAAATTATATAGATGTTGGCGTCATTTTATCTTTATATAAATTATTATCTATTATTATTCAAATATTTTTATTAAATATGCATTATCTACATCTGCATCTTAGATGAAAAAAGTGTTATCTTCACCAAATATTATTTAGAATAATGTTCAGATAATTTGATTTAGAGTCAGAGCACATGAAAATATTTAATTAGTGGAACTTGAACAATAAGCGATAAACATTATAAATAAGACCACAATCTCCACTTGATTTCTCTCGACCAATAGAGCCAAACGCGATGTTATTGCGACAGTTATAAAAGAAAGAACATCTGAAAAAGGAATTTGAATCCTACGGTTGGGATTATAAATAAGAATATGAATATATTTTTATATCCTTTTCATAATATAATTTACATTTTTCTATAATTGTGGTTACATAAGCGGTCTTAAAAATAATATTATCGGGAAGTTATCAAGATAAATCGTCACATAATTTTTATCTTTTATCTAGATGTATTTAAAACAAAATTATTGTTATAGCTTATCTAAGATGAATTTACATAATTTTAAACTCCTCCAAGCACAACACTGATCACGATTCATGCACACGAGAGTTGCCTTCCTGGAAGTAAAATGCCTGATAGAAGATAAACGCGCACGATTAGCGATCGCAAGAACGTAATCGTTGATAACCCTTCCGAACTGTGTGTGATAAATTGTATTTCACGAAAAATCGTGAAAACTTAACGCGCACGTCATAATAAATCTTCGTTGCACAGAAAGGACTTTTCTCGTTTCAACACGGAAAGATGGATCTATCACTGCTCGAACATTCGTCCTCGCTCGATCGCATTGATACTTCGCGCCGATTTGCAGAGCGACTCCCTGTTATTCGGAGGTGTCGACGAGCGTTTGTCTATTTAATTATGCCGTGCCGGGCACGTAATCAACACGTATCCCTGCCACGGTTCATTATACTTTCACGTGTATGTACGAGCCTTTCTGTGCCGTACCTCTTACGATTGGCTCACAACTGAGAGCATCGTGTAACTGTATCATTGTCTTATACAACCGGGAGAGACCGACGTTATGATCGCCTTCTGCTTCCTCCGCTTGTGTACGCCTGCCGCTCTTCTTTTCTTCCTCGTCTTATTCTTCTCCTACTCGCTCCTGTGTGATGCTTACACGCTCAAAGAAGCTCGTGCACGCTCGCAGGATCAGCGCGCACGCGAATCTCGATCTCTCTCTCTTCTTTCCTCTTCTCTCTCGCTTCGCAGTTTCGCGGTCTGCATTTAATTAACATACCGATGAACGGAGCAGATCGCGATGCGCGTATAATATTGCGAAACTGAATTGTGTACTCTTCTTCTTGTGCGCGTAGATCATTCACGATATAGTATATACAAATTCAATGAGAAAGAGAGAGAAAGAGAAAAATTGTTGCAATATCTTATTATTCCCATCAGGGAATTTGTTAACGTCACTGATTTCAGTCAATGATAAAATCAATAGTTTGAATTTGTGTGTGTATGTATATATAATATATTATAATTGTCAAGTATTGAAAATATGATAAATCCTGCAATATATATATATATATATATATATATATATATATATATATATATATATATATTCGTCTAATGCAGGATTTATCATATTTTCAATATTTGACAATTTTGAGCACCTTTCAACAAGTATCAAAATATATAAATTGTCGTGTAATAAATTTTTTTAATATACACAAAAAAAAAGAAATAAGTTTGTAAATCTTTTTTCTATATAGTCTTCATCCACCATCTTTGATTCTATATATAATAACGACTTTCATTTTTATTTAAATTTATTTTATCATAATGGCTATTCTTTTAATTTTGAATTATAATGAGAAAAAGAGAGCTCTGATTAGCTCATTAAAAATACGCGTTAAGAAAAAAAAGTAAAAATGTCTTCTGCACTTTTTTTCTTTAGTTCTTATATCACTTTTTGATTTTATAATAACAACTTTTACTTTTACTTAATTTAATTTGATAATAACGGCTATTATTTTAATTTAATTTAATTTTTAAAAACCTGACGCGGAAGAGTGACACTTTATTAACGAAAGAGCCTCGATTAGCTCATTAAAAAATACGCATTAAGAAAAAGAAAGTAAAAATGCATTCTTTTGCAAACTTTTTTTCTAGTTCTCACATCCCATTATCTTCGATTTTATAATATAATAACAACTTTTATTTTTCTTTAATTTTATTTGATGATAACGACTATTATTTTAATTTTAATTTAATTTAATTTTAAAAAACTCAGACGCACAAGAATGACACACTTTGTTAGCGAGAGAGCCTCGATTAGGTCATTAAAAAATACGCGTTAAGAAAAAGAAAGTAAAAATGCATCCTGCGTTGCAATGACAGCAGAACAACGAGATGAAATTCTTCCTGTTTGGCAAAGCGCGAAATTCAAGTGTTGTCTTGACGCGCGCGCGCACGCATGTCAAGGACCTGGAAAACAATTTTCTCGCGTCGCGAGCGTGTCGAAAAGGGCGTGTAAAATCTTAGCGCGCCGCGCCGCGCCGGTTTCCTCCTGCGTTAAACGATCGAGATGCGTTAGTTTTGCAATGGAAAATTGCAAATTGGCCAATCTCGGATGCCGCTTTACGGCCTATTGTCTTTAAACGGCAATAAAACTTCATTGCGCTCGCACGACATGCTAATAATCCGCCCGCTATTGGAGAACAATCGGTGAACCATCTTTTGCTTTCAGCTAATCTCTTTTATCCGCTCGTTTAATTGCACCTGTCTCAGAATTATTTATAATTCAGGAACCAACACAGATCTGTAGGCTATATTATATATAGTCTAACGGTTCTCATATCTTCTCGAATCTTTCCGGTTCTAAGGTCAGATCCGGATTTAGCTGGATGTGTAATAATAATGATGAATTAATATTATAATGATTCAAGAAAACATCAAGTAATTGATGAAATAAATTTACTATTCGATTCAAACTATTTGCAGCAGTGTAAAATGGTAAAATAATTTTTTCGTAAAATAATATTTTAGATAATTTTAATGTGATTTTTTAATTAGAGACAGTTTCGTTTTCGTAAAATTTTTTTTCAGATTTCTATTCCAATGTGTATTCAAAATATTCCAACATATCGAAAAATTATATTTCTTAAAAATAAAATAAAAAATTCGTGTCTATGTGAAAGTATTCATTTTTTATGAAAATTTTAATTCTTAAAAAAATATTTTGAATTTTACGAAAGAAACTTACAAGAGTAAGTACATACATACAATATATACTATACATGACAAAAAATGTTAGTTTATGTACAAAATGTGTATAAATTGAAAACTTGCATGTTCTTGTATGAGGAAACCAAAATTGAGAAACCAGCTTGCTCATAGAGGAAGCTTAATGAGCGAAATAGAATGATGAAAAAACAATGTACAAGTTTGCAATTTACATATGTTTTTATATCATTTTATTAGTAATTTCTTTAATTTTTAAATTATTTCTTCACGTCAACCACTGCGGATGCTCTTCCGCTCCAATCATCCTGGATCCTTCGCGTTGCGTGAACTTGGAGTCCCTTTTTCTTTCTCTTCCATGTTAGCGGAGTTCGAATTACGCCAGTGAGAAAATGCGAGTTTCGAAGTTCCTTGACTCTCGTACAAGCGCGGACGACCCTGAGCGTAGAGCGCGTCTCTTTCCACTACGCATCGGTTTCGAAGACACCGCCGCGAATCTATCTAATGGACCTAGATGCATAATAAACGAGCGCTTACATAACAAAAATGAGCCGAGTTACATGTAGACAAAGCTGGGACGTCACGCTCCGCGAGGCCCGGCCTGGAGTGAGAATGAGTCATTGTGTGATTATCGCTCTCTGTCGTAGCGCGACGAGTAGATTTCCCGAGGAGGTGCAGCTTTTCGGATCTCGAACAAACGCATCCTATCTTAACTATGTAGGATAATATATGATATAGTATAATGTCAATTTATCTTTATATCTTTATAATGCTAATTATAATTATTACTATTGTAAATTATGTATATTTTATATAATAAAAAATAATTGTTATTACTATTATAAACTATATATAAGATATGTCATATATAAAATATAATAATATTAACAATAATTGTTCTCAGCAAATGCAGATATATAAACGTTATGTACATGTAAGTAATCAAGCATGTTACATGTAACGTATATGTTAGTTGTAACTTCCCACTCATAGATAAAACATTTTTAATATAACATATTATATATTACATTGTAGTTATATTATCATTATATCCCAGATAGCACTGACTTATCGATACATCAATGTGGTATATAATTTGATATATATATATAATTATAATACAATATAACTACAATGTAATATATGTTATATTAAAAATGTTACATCTATGAGTGGAAATTACAACTAACATATACGTTACATGTAACATGCTTGATTACTTACATATATATAACATTTATATACTGTGTTTATTACAATTACTTATTTTTATAATTAATTTCTCATTAATTATTGCAAAAATCGTCAATTTATAGAGGATTTTTCTACTCGGTTTTAATCTGCTCTACTTGCACACGAGAGGTGATACAGTCACTCTCTATTGGACACTTGGTAGATATAAAATATAAAAATATTTTTCAATGAATACTTTTTTCAATATAATATTTATAAACCACATTAACAAATGTGGTAACAAGGAATGCAAAAGATAAATTGTTTAAATATGTATCGTATATTTTCTTTATTAGAAATATATATTCATCTTCATCAAATATAAAAATTTGATTGATCAAATATAAAGATTTGATAAAGTGTTGTGATTGACGAGGCGCGTGAACGTGCGTATCACAATATGTGCGAAAATAAAAATAACAAAGTATTAAAAATTTTCCTAAAAGTATCGAAACTAATTTGTCGTTTTTGTAGGAAAGAAAAGTATTTAAACTTAAAGCAGTCTCTTCGCAAAAAAATTGTCATAAATCTATTCTATTTATAAATAAATTTGCACATAGATGCAGAATACTGTTGATTTTAATATAAAATTAGTAAATATTAGTAATGTAATCAAAGTAATTTTAATCATAATACAATAATTAACTGTAGTTTACGAACGTTAGTTTTTTCATGGCAAATTACACGATCGTCATACATGTATTAATCGATTTTAATCTCTCGTGTATTTCAACGATCGTGCCTTATAAACTAGAATTAATTTACATCGAAATTTATCAGCAAATTGCATACAACTTGCGAAAATTATAATCAGGTAATTGAGCTTATAGCTTCGTGTACAATGGTACACGATTTCCTGGTTTATAACGTCACGACCCTAATTACTTTGACACGAATTAACGTACCGCGTTAAATTTCTACGAGATCTCGTTTACATATACTTGTATATATGCAACAAAATATATATTATCTTTTATCTCTCTTGGTACGCATTTATAGAAAAATCGAACATATAACTTTCTTTACTTCAAAGGTACGATTTTATGATAATATATATGATATCGTCGACTAATGCCCGCGATAAATTGACACGAGCGTTGTGTAATCACAAACGTGGTCTAACTAATTTAGAATCGAAGCTGCGTGGAAGAGCAGATCGTTGTTTGCGCCGTAATAGCTTGTATCTTAAAAATGGAGACGCAACGCAAAACAAGAATTTATGGCTCGCCAACGTAATTAATGCTGTTACAAAAAGAAAAACATTACATGTCTCGACGGTAAATATTAAAATAACATTTAAAAATTCTTTGGTCGTCGGCGTAATACACAACCGTCGTGCGTTAACGCGGACTCGTCTGAGCAAGGCCTCACAATCTTTTCTTAAACTGCTATCGACCGTTCTTGAGCTAAAATTTAGCAGCAAGTGAACGGCTTCTCGAGTATGCCATGCGCAATACTAGTGTTTTGCGGGCTTTCCTCGACGGAAGGCGAGAGAGGCATGCCGTTGAAGAAGCTATTCGACTCGGAAATTTTAAGAGTGGTCGTGTCCGTATTGTCAGATGCCATTCTCAGCAGATCTTTGGCGATGGCAAGGAAAACGGTTTCCACCCCCTCGTTATGCAACACCGAAATCTCATGATATGTAGCACCGATCGACGTAGCGTATTTCTGACCCTCCTCACCATCGATCTGCCGCTGATGCATCAGATCGGACTTGTTACCGATCACGGCCAGCACCATCGTCTCTTCCACATTCTGCTGCAACTCTTTCACCCAATTCTTGATCGCGGCAAAACTGTTGTACTGCGTGAGATCGAAGACTAGCATGGCCGCATTGGCGTTCCTGTAGTACATCGGCGCCATAGAACGGAATCTCTCCTGGCCAGCTGTGTCCCATACCTGCGTAAAAAAAAAAAAAAAAATAACCCTTAATTCTTCAGACCGATTCGAATGATTTTATAAAGCCTTAAGCAGACAATTGAATAAGGCGATATAAAGACAGAGAAAGATAGATGAATTGATGAAAGGTCAGGAGCTAATTAGAAAGATAACACATAGATAGATGATTAAAGGCTCGTGGCTATTAATTCGATATAAATAATAATAAATATTAAATTTTTGTATTAATCGCTGAATATTAATATCGAAACATGATAGTACAAATATTTTTCACAATCGTACTTGCAATTTTATCTTCGTATCCCCCAAATTGAGCTTGCAGTTGAAAAAAGATGCCCCTATTGTCGGACTTGCATGCTCAAAGTTTCCCATGTAACGCCCGATCAAACTCGTTTTGCCGACACCTGAAAATAATATTTGTGTAATAATAACATCATGTTTATGGTCAACGCTATTATTTGGCACGTGTAATGCACATACATATATCGAACTTTGTTCTATACATGTCAAAAAATCAATTTCCTTATCTGATAGCGCGTGTATTTCAAGTTACTATGCAATAATCGGACTTTTACCCGATTTTATAAAATGTAGACAGATAAACATTCATATATAAACAATTATATCCAGAATATAATAATATATGACCGATTTTATCAATTATTATAAAAATATAAAACATTTGACAATTATTATATATAAAATACAAAACAATATTTAATATTGATGGTAGTAATTTAATCAACCAATATGAGATAAAAAATATTTAATATATATACATATATATAGTTTCGTATTTGACATTCGTTTTTCTTGTACTTAATTGACAAATAAAAAAACTAAGAAAAGAAAAGAGATTATTACAGGAATAATTTTTCTTTAAAAGTTACATAATTTCGTGATTATATTCTTTGTGTCTTTTCATCTTTTCACTGTTGACATTTGATTGTCGCTAATCAAATATTGTGTGTATGTGTATAGAAAATGTGATTACGATAATATATATATATATTAAAAAGTGATTAAAAGATTTCCTACAATATGTGCTTTTTGTTATCAATACGTTGTGCTCTACCGGGAACTGTGCCATGCGCGGATTTTGACCTCCATCCGAAGATATATACATATATGTTGTAATATAAGTAACATTACGTCACTTGCACCAAACAAATATCGGATTCAAAATGTAAAAAATATCGTTCTTTTTCGATTTTTTTTCAATTCTTAAAAAGAATAAAAAAATTTATATATCTTTAATGTAAAAAACTAATAAAAGAAAGACCAAGAAAGTGTTTGTTAATACATATAATTGTTTTTATCAATCTGCATATTCTTATATCCAGTGTTGTGCTTAGATGATTTTTAAAGTAGCCAAATAAAGATGAGATAAAAATATGTAAATTTATTTTAGATAACATAAAGATGATTTTGTCTTAAATATATTTAGATAAAAGATAAAATTACACATGGCAATTCATCTAGCGAATTTCCAAATAATATTATTATTAAGACTGCTTATGTAAACAGTTATAAAAAAATATAAATTATAAAAGAGATATAAAAATATATTCATATTTTATAAAAAGTATATACATATAAAACATTTTATAAATTTTCAGAAGTTTTTTCATCGCTTACTACTTATTAAGTTTTACTATTTAAATATTTTTATGTGATATGATTCTAAAATTCTAAACCAATGTTCAGATCAGGGATACACAACTGGCAGTCCGCGGGGCGGATCCGGCCCGTGAGATTTTTCAATCCAACCCGCGATGTCCATGTTTGACCAGCAGAAAAAATAAAAATGAAACTGAATTATAAGCGCATAACTTCAAATTGCTTTTTTTACTTTTATGCTCTAATTATAAGTCCTTTCCCTCTCTTCCTAAAAAAAGATTCAACTTTGCCTCTTCATGTGATGGTTCCTGGGTAATACAAAGGTAAAAATATAAATAATAGTATAATCTCAAATTTTACATTTGGCCCACCAAAAAATCTAGTTACATTTTCTTAGTCTAGATAATTTAGTAAAGATAATACTTTTTTTCATCTAAAAGGCAGATATAGATAATACATATTTTTATTATCTGTATAAAGATAAGATGACGCCAAAGTCTCTTCTAGATGATCATCTATGTAATTTTATTTAGATAACAGCAAACACTGTATTTTATATAAGAATCATAAGAATAACGACTATATTTCACCGAATAAGCTTTAAAGTGAATCAAAATGTTTCAGTTATCTCTACAATTGAGTCATACATACTTATATATGTACTTACATATACAAAATTAAAATATGTATATATAGGGTGAGTCAAAAGTATGTTTTAAAAATTTGTGAGTGTGGGTAAAAAAGTATGACAATGTTCAAATAAATGTCGCAAATGTTTCGTTATCAAAATAATGGATATAAATCAGCAGTATCAAATAAATATTTATATTCGAACGTTTACAGTTTTTTTTTACAAGAGATAAAATTAGTACCCAGAAGCCTAAGCTATTTAACAACCTCCATTTCCCTTTCTTTTAATGAGATCTAATAGCGTTGGTTTGTAAACAAATTCGTTTCCATACATGATGCCCTATCATATTTCTCGTGTTTTTGAATGAATTGAGATTTCTTTCATAACTGCTGTCAAGGTCAAATATGTTTCACCATTTCATGTATTTGTTAAAGCCCTACAACTTTTGTTTAAAACATTTTTATCTGTCACGCTCAGTTTTAAAATATTTGTACAGATATATGTACAGATGGTCTCAGACATCCTGCATAGATCGACATGTATCGACATTAAATTCTCATTAGCCTAGAAGAAATAGGGAAAAAATATTTTGCATCCAATTAGTAAGTGAACGTCCCACTCGCGCAACATATAATCAAGGCAATTGTATCAGATGTTGCAACATCGAATTTCGTAATAAATGTAAAATAAGCAACGGGTTCAAACTGATTTGCGTGTTCACCTAACCTCTATGACAAAACAAAAGATAGAATCGGAAACAATAACGCGATGACTAACCTTTAAAATGAGTCGCTCGTATGTCTGCAAAAAGCTTTATGACTCGTTCATCCGAAACGTCAATTCAGAAGTCACAAATCTTTCTTTGTGATATTATATAACACGATAACAGGTAAATTTTATTGCCGCGCATTTATTGCGATCAGAGCACTTACCTTGAGATCCCAGCATAACTACTTTGCCCTCTATCGTCTTCATGTTTGACGCACTACAACTACATAATCGGATTAAAGGATCTGTCGAAGTAAAAATTTCACGTACTACACGATTAAACTAACAACAGTACGGTGTTTTGACGTTTCCCATGCTTATATACATGATGCAACCTGCGGCTTTGTTGTTATGTTGGTCGGTAACGGCTCGTCATTCTCTAATTAATGCTGCTGCCATCTGTCAACGGTATGCGGCAATTTCTACTGCATACTTACAATTAGTGCTTTATATCAGTCTATGAGAAGCGATTAATAAAAATTTAAATAAACGACTTATGCAGTCTAATATATTTTGTTAAATTATATAAAAATTAAAGTCAATATTATATTAAATACTTAAATATTCTTACGTTTATTACAACTAACCATTGTTTGATAAGTTATCTACAGAATGATAATTGTTTCATCTCTTGTCAGACAGATTTCACGTATTTTTTAATAGATGGTTCTCTCTTATTTTTATTTTTCCCATATTTAATAATTATTATTTACATTATGCTTTCTCGAAGTTTGGATAAAATATTTTTAGAGAAAGGATATTGTCTTTTCTCAAACACACTATATTTTAAATATTTCATTTTTACACTAATGTAAAGTGTTCATCTTTACACTGATTCGATCACATGAACTTATCTTTTTGTTTAATATGTTGTAGTAATGGAATTTAATTAATATGCGATATATGCGCTATATGGATAATTAATTAATGTTGACTTTATTTCAACAACAATGCAAACTGTTCCGCGAAAAGCTACGTTATATTTTATTACGGCGAATTACCCTCAATTCGATTTCGCAGAGGCAACGGTCCTTTTACAGCATATAACCAGAACATATATGGAGAAAAAGAGAGAGGGAGAAAGAGGGACAAAGAAAGAGAAACGTTAGTTTAATTCATATTACTTTTCTCATAAATCCGTCGGGACTCGTGCGCGACTATAGAATGGTGGCATAACGCAAAATTCATACACGATTATTCCCGTAGTATGTATGTCCTCACATATATACATATATGTATGTATATATAGATAAGCGTTTGCTGAGGGAGAAACTCGTAGGCAGAAACCACGAGAAAAGCTTCGCAGTTCTCTGGCGAGCGACTCTTGCTTCCCTCTCTCTCTTTTCCTTCCTTCTGCCACCTCCCTCTGAACTGGGGCTGTTCCGATCCAGACAGTTTTTGCTGAAACATCGTACCGTTGATCCGGCATTTTCCAGGCCGCTTGTTTATCGCTCGGCTTGATCCCTCTGTTCGTACCGCGGTGTTACAAGCCCCTGCAATCGATGTTTTCGTCCCATCTTTCTTACTCTGCTCCTTTCCTGCCCATCCGTATCAGAATTTACCTATTTCTTCTCTTATCCCTCCCTACCTCTCTCTTTCTTTCTACTTTTCTCAACCTCGATAGATAACCGTTGCCGTTTGTCTCTCGACTCCTATAGTTACATATATATGGCAATGTAAAGCTACGATTCCCAGACCGCGCGTTGGGAGACCTCGATCTTACTCGGAAAAAGAATCGACCTTCGGTACACCAGAGATACGCTGTGCTATCGCTGAAAAATAGAATTTCACTGGATTTAGCACTCAAAAAAGTGTTAAAAAAAGAAATACACGGTAACACAAATGTGTGATATTTATTTAATCCGTTCTCCAGCCTATCGAGATCTCTCATCAGTATAGATATATATTCGATCTATCTTTCGCTATGTATTTTGACAATTCCTTTAGGGAGGAAGGAGAGGAACAGTCGCCTTTGAATGTCTGATCTCGTTTGATCTCGTCCATTAACTCGATTCCCTTTAATGCATCATATAGTATAAGAGGCTGCGGAGCTCCTCCATGGTGTTTTGACACTCGCCGATGCGTGACGTCGGACCGCTATAACGCCGCCCGGTCCATTTTGCAACGCGATATATTTGCGTCACCCTTCTACACGTTTCCCTTCGAGAAATCGTCGCAATGCCCGCTGCCGATAGAATCATCGTCGTATTTCATAGAGAGAAAGAGGGAGAGAAAGAGAGAAAAAGAAAGGAGAAAGACGGGAGCCTGGAATCCCCCGGAAGTGGACGAAGTGGTGCAATCCTGAAAGATGTGCGCGCCGCAGGCAGGAAACGCGCGACCAAAGGATATAAATTGAATCGGGGTTTCGCATCCGACGCGTAAAAGCGAGTTCGCACGCCCTTTAAATCTACTCCTCCCTCTGTCCCCTTCATTGCTTTATTGCGGCGCTAGACAACCATTATCGAACGGAAGATGTCAATAATTTTCGTGGTATGTCGCTTGTGCACGGCTCGGCGAGCGGTTTGGGTCCTCTAATTCGATGTTCTTCGATTTTGGCTATGTCTACGTTCTTTCGATGTTTAAACGACTTTTTATATATATATATATATATATATATATATATATATATATGTATGTATCATGAATATAAGCTTGTTTTATTCTTTTATTATTTTTGAAAAGGATCGTTGAATTCTGTTCCAAAAGAACGATTGGTTGTGATACATATAAGATAAAAAAAATGTTATATGCAAGTCAAATGTTACAAGGGAAAGTCATCGTTGGTTACAGCTATTGCAGAGAGTATACGGTGAGCGAACCGCAGGATTAGTCCCAAGTATTCTCGTATACCGGTCGCGGTGACCTGTGGCTAGCCGTTGGCTTAGATACACGGGGCTTAGATTCGCCTTGGGTTTGGTTTAGGCTACCCTCACGAAGGCGATATGTCAACGTCATAATGGAGGGTCATAAATCCGGCTCGCACGCGCCTAACCTCGCCGGGGAGAGCGCACACGGACCACGCACATCGCACAACCGTTCCGTAATCCGTCCGCGTGTTCATACCTCTCTCAGTTTGCACGCTGACTTTACTGGATATTAGAGACTTCCATCCGTCATATCTCGTTATCGCTCCAAGCACTGTGAGAAAGTGTCTAAAGACAAACAAATATGGAAGCTTGCGTAAACACGATTTGACGAAGATTACCTCGATTACGTCAGATATATCCATCAATTTTTCCGTTTGAGTGGAAGCGAGAGAATAATAACGATATTATTAGAATTAGGAAAATGGTTTTTTCTAGACAAAATTACTAGAAAATTATATTATAAATTACTATAAAATTCTTAGAAATTATAGCTTATATTTCAAAGTGTTTTTAGTTTGGCTAATTTTTTTTTAGATATGTATATTGGCAACTATATTTAAACTAAACTGAATCGAAAAATGTTCCGAATCTGTCATAACATGTAAAACTATGTATATAGTATAACGTTTATGTATAATATAATAATGGAAAAGATAATATATTGAACATGGTTTTTTTTAATTTGAACATTTTTTATATTTCTTATTAATAACACGTTATAATAATGGCTATAAGATAGTCTTTAATAATAGGTTCGGAACACTTCCTAGTTTAGTTAAATAACTGCTAACATCCAGAAAAACCAAACTAATATTTTGTTCGGAATATACCCATAAAAATATTTATAATTACTAGAAATTATAATAAAATTATTATAAAAGAACTATAAAGTTACTAAAAATTACTATAGAATAATTAGTTAATTGATAATTTTGTAACTAAGTTTTAAGCCCAATTTTTTTCTCATATAACCGTGATTTACTATACAATTTCTGATATTAATCGTGTAGCAGCGGCATAATGGCGCTATAATAATGGTACCACGTTAATGTTATTTCACACTAGGCGTTATCACAATTTCGCCCTGCAGGTGCCAGGATCTAGATTACCCGGCCGAGTATATACGCGGGTAATTAACGGAGAGCAGTTTGTAGAAATAATTCCATCCTTATCGCGCGGGTAAAAAGTGAACGAGAAATAAATTTACTCTATATTTTTTTCCTTTCTTTCTCCACGCGCGCCAACTCGAGCACGCGTTTACTGTTTCATTCGCAATCAGTGGCAATGTTGTTTCACGGCGAGATGTAAGTGTTGGCAATAACCTTAAAGTTATCGCGCGACCAACGGGATCGTTAACGAGCGTACCACGTAGAACGCAAGTTACCGGTCGAAGGGCCGGCATTCTGCCACACTGTTACGGCCACTAAGGGCTGTTTACACTGGCGTTGTCAACCGACGTATACCATGCACGCGATCATATATACGACAGTAAAGTCACTGTAAAATCGTTAATCAGCTGTATTTAATGGTAACTATTATTGTTTGGCGAGAAAGATTATTAAGTAGAAACTTGTGTCTTTAAATCTTTTCTATCTAATATTAAAATAAGTGAGAAAAGGATGCATAGAAAGGAGGAAGAATATAATTTTTGATAAGAATAAGAGATTCGCGTGCCGAGAAGAGAGATTGATCGAAGAATCTCTCAAATTAAAAATTGTGCAGCACGCGAACAACGGGATACGTTGACAGATCCACAAAATGTTTTTCTGCTTTCTTTCGAGACGCTCTGTCGTGAGTAATGGACGTTATGATTTCCCAAGAGTCGTCGAGTTATATTGTATATTTTCACACGAACGTGTGTGACCGCCCTGTCTTTCTGTCATAGAACATTACAACTGAAATGATATCGCGGGCTTAAAAATGTAATATTATTAACCATGACACACTACTATAATTAACCTTAATGAAATAATCGCGAAAGAATCATAATAAACAAATGTTACGATGTGCATCTCTGTCGATCCGTTTCGCAGAACTTGTGGAAATATTTATGTTCTCACTCTGGGGCAGGTCACGTCGGATTACGTGCTACACACTCGATTCACTGGTATCGGTTTCGCTGCGGCAAGTAGGTCAATGGCGAAACCATTTCGGGACCTTGGATATATATCGATATCGCGAAGCGATAGTTTCAATTCAATTTGAAGAAGTCAAATCGGAAACGATGACGAATATTTCCATCATTCGCGACGAAGTGTTTTAATTGTTGCGAAAAAAAATTTCGCTTTCCATAATCACGCGAAATCAGTCGACTAGGCAAATTTGCGGTTACATTTTGATGAATATCGCTATTGTGCGTGTGTAATAACGCGTATAACAGAGTAATGAAAATGGAAAATACATATACAAGCTCTTAGCTTGTGGAAACTGTGGAATGATAAAATATAATAACATGGAGGCAATAACGTAATTGATATTTGAAAATGCATAAAAGCGGAA